CCCTTTGGGAGCAAGTGAACAGTGTGGAGGACACAAACAGATCATTGTGGGATGAGGAGAATGGTGATGCAAGGAGTGACCAGGGGTCACCGATGATGTACACTCAAGGGAATGGTGAGACTGGTGCTATTGGGATCTGAACTCTTCACTTGCTGCTGAAGATGGAGACCGAGCACTTATGGGAATATCCCAAGTGCTGTGTCATTTATTCTTAATTAAACATTCAACATATTCCTCTGAAGAGGAAGCGATAATGAAAGTCACATACAATTACGTGGCGTTTATATTTTTGCTGAAGTGTCTTTTTAAACAGCATATTCATACCAACACTGTGCTACCAGTGCCAGACTTGGACATTGTCAAAAGTTAACCTATGCAAAATTAACACCTGTGAAATGAGATGACTGAGAAAAGCCACCAACTTAACCATCCAAGACAAAGTTGGACATATTATCAGGCAGACTGTGGGTACAACACCATGCTGCAAATTCACTGAGAAACAGAAGATGAAATGTTTTGGCCATCTAGTAATAAGGCGGCCAGAACAACTACCAACACAGACGCTACACAGGAAAAGATTTGATGTCAAAGTAGAGGTCACCCTAGGAGAATATGGAATGATGACATTCAAGAGCTTCTACATCAACACGGAATGGCTTGAGCCATTTCTGCCTATCAAGCAATGGATCGTCAACTGTTGCTTCCCAAGGGAGCTTATTGATGCTGATTTTTGTTTTGCTGCTTGATAGTGGACAAAAGCAATTCTCTATCAAAGTACATCTAATGGTGTTGCTTGAGGTGATTGCAGAGATGAAATAAGTTCCACCACTAGTCTTAACATCTGTGCTACAATAATTATTCTACAACCAATTGATGACTCTTAATCTGCATCCATAGTAAGAGTGCAAGAACAGCAAGTTAAAAAAAATGTGGCCAGAGAAGAACGCAAGTAGGAAGCCAAATAAAAGAAAAAATAAACCATCACAGAACTGGTGTCATCAGCCGCAACACAGTAATAGATTTACTGAACAGGGGTTCCGAGCACTAATGGAGGTGAGTGGTTCGATGATATGTCGACTAGGTAATTATTCTACTATTATTATGCCAGGGTATGTGCAATATTTTTCTTCAACTTCCTCTTCTTTCTTCATGTCCTACTTCTTATGCCATAAAGCACTTTGCCTGAAGGAGTTACATTTAGTTTCCTGACCTTTGCTAGATTAATTAATTTATTCTACCATAATTATACAACTGTATGTGCAATTTTTCTTCTTCAGCTTTTTCTTTTGTCCTGCTTCTTACGATGTAAAGTGTCACAGAGATGAGTTACAGGTTGTTTCCCGTCTTCATTAAGGTGTGTAGATTATATTAATGTCATACTGCATTTCTGTAGTGACTCTTTTACTTCCCCCTCCCATCTCTTTCGTGGTCAGCCTCTTGACTTGTAGCCTACAGTTCTCAAGTAGTACACTCGAGCTGCTCAAATAGTACACTCGAGCTGCTCAAATAGTACACTCGAGCTGCTCAAATAGTACACTCGAGCTGCTCAAATAGTACACTCGAGCTGCTCAAATAGTACACTCGAGCTGCTCAAATAGCACACTCGAGCTGCTCAAATAGTACACTCGAGCTGCTCAAATAGTACACTCGAGCTGCTCAAATAGTACACTCGAGCTGCTCAAATAGTACACTCGAGCTGCTCAAATAGTACACCCGAGCTGCGTGAGGATTTTGTTTCATACTGACCAGATGACCAAACCATTTGGTTCTTTGATGTTCTGTGTCACCGGTAATGTGCCTACCATTATTCTTAGTTTATCGTTTGTGACTGTTTCTTCTTCTTATTCTTCAATAGTCGTGCTATAACATTTATTACACAATACCTGTGCTGTAACAGATTTGTTATACTGTATATTCAACCAAGTTTAGACAGGAGCCAAAATGTTAAAAATGGAGATTGCCACAAACCAGAAGCCACAGAAAGGAGCATGGAGATTGCCACAAACCAGAAGCCGCAGAAAGGAGCATGGAGATTGCCACAAACCAGAAGCCACAGAAAGGAGCATGGAGATTGCCACAAACCAGAAGCCACAGAAAGGAGCATGGAGATTGCCACAAACCAGAAGCCACAGAAAGGAGCATGGAGATTGCCACAAACCAGAAGCCACAGAAAGGAGCATGGAGATTGCCACAAACCAGAAGCCACAGAAAGGAGCATGGAGATTGCCACAAACCAGAAGCCGCAGAAAGGAGCAGCATAAAAAGATGATTATACAATACAACTAGCAATGATTCGCGGGCCACATGCTAGGCCTCTACGGGCCATCAGCTGAACAGCCCTGTTGTATGTGCTCTATAAGTGTTAGATGTCATTACTACAATTACAATACCGTAACAAGAGTGCAATATTTAGTTGAAATCAGTTGTTGCACAGTAGTACTCATTCTAGTTTAGTATCAAACCCAATGCGAGTGTTAAACATGCCAGTGTTACCATGCAGTTTGCATTCCAAGACAGTTAGCACATGTGATTTTGAAGATTGCAGTTTGCATTCACACACACACACCAACAAATTGTGGTTTAAAGAATTACATGAAAGATATTAAATGCAGAAAAAGTGTTATAATTTTTTTTTTTAATTAACAAAATAAAACCAGCATTAAAAAAAAACATTTTTCTTTGTCAGATTTTTAAAACCTGCTTTTCAAACAATTTTAACCTGCCTGTCTGTTCATTACCTTCTGTACCCAACAAATCTGTACATGATCTTCTTCTATGTTTGCCCTAAAAGGGAGGTGGCATGTGTTGTGTTGTGGGTTACAGCTAGGCTGCAACATCTGCAGTTTTCCCCCCAACCCATCCAATTACAGCAAAACCATTTTAGTCCCCTTTTATGTCACCTGTTCTGTTTTCGTCTAAAACAAGGCCACAGAACCTTCATGGAGAACTGCCTTTCTTAATTCCCGGGGTGTATCATTTCTTTATTCCCGGTGTATCATTTCGTAAATCCTGGTGTATCATCTCTTAATTCCTGGTGTATCTTTTCTGAATTCCCGGTGTACCATTTCTGAATTCCCAGTGTATCATTTCTGAATTCCCGGGTATCATTTCTGAATTCCTAGTGCATTATTTCTGAATTCCCGGTGCATCATCCTCTTATCACGTTATCCCTCACCATCATAATTATATAATTATTTGCTCAACTGCTGTCCAGTAGAGAATTTAATCTCCTTCAGAACCAACAGTATTTGTTTACTTGGACACAATGGATTGAAGTAATCAATATTTGGTACTGTCTCCGTTAGTCTGTCCTATATATACAGACACATATACATATATGCAAGGCTGAATTTAGGTACTGTGCAATACTCACTGCTTCACAAAGGTTTAAAAAAAGGAGTAGGGGGTGTTAGCTAAAATACAACTAGACGTAATAAAATGCTTATAGTTTATTTCTTTCACCATTAAGAAACCCGTAGCAGATTAGCATTCTTGAATTAAAACAGTATGGCAGTAGCAATGCTAAAGTTTAGTGTGAATAGGGGAGACAATAAAATGGCTGCACACGAATATCATACATCCTAAATACAGCCTTGTATGTGTGTCTTCTTCTTCTTCGTGTTCTCCGGCTGTAAACTCTGGCAAAAGGTTTTGGTTGGTCGTCCACCTCTAGACTCTAGTCCTCTTCCAGAAACTAAGTGTTGCGTGCACATCCGTTTCAAAGATCTGACTCATTTGCATGCAGACTGTTGGTTCCTTGCCTCTCACGCAGATATACTCTGATTTTGAAGGAAGATCCCAATTAGTCGATTCTTACGACATGCTTTTGGGTAGGCAGTGGGTCTATTCTTGTTTCCGCCACAATTGGGCCCCGGAACCAACACAGGGAGTGTGTGTATCTAACCCTCCAAATGTAGAGTTAACTTCCTGTCTCTGTTCATATCTTTCTATTGCTGAATGCTGTTCGATCTATCTGCCATGCCGTCAGAACTTTAACTTCCTGTCTCTGTTCATCTCTTTCTATTGCTGCTTGCTGTTCGATCTATCTGCTGTGCAGTCAGAACTATCTACAATACTGTCCTTAACCGCCTGTTACTACTTTTCACTGTTTACCTGTGACCTGTCCTCTATCTATTCATTCACCTGTCACTATGCCAATCTGCTAATCCTATGTATTTACATTTATTTACATTTAGCTCACACACACACACATTTTGGCTTTTTGAGAACAGACACATGCGTCTACAATTCTCAAAGAAATCTAAACAAAGACTTACATCTGCAATATGCAGTACACAGTTATGAATCATTATATATATATGTAAGTAGTAACTAATCTATGAAAATGCAAGTGTCATGTGAATCAGATTTTATGACAAAAGAAACAGAAAAGAAAAGTGTGAAACCAAAACACAACCTAAACAACTTGAAACAAATTATAAATAAAAACCTTGAAAATGAAGGTTTGGGTCGGAAGGTGATAAAGCTGAAATAATGATGAACATATCAAGCAATAATGTTGAAATATACTTGACACAGGCAATTTATGAAAAAACTGTTTTCTTACTCAATTAGTAACATTAATAAAATAAAAAAAATATGCATATTTAAAATGCACTGATTTGCATAAGATGCTTATGAATAATAACATTACAGTAGTGAGTAATCCATAATATAGGAAGGAGATATATTGATTAATCTTATATATGAAACAGAAAAAAACAAATTAGAAATGCAGAAAAAAAGGAACATAATGCTTTTATAAATAAAAACTAATTTTTAACATGCTGGAGGACTCTGTTTAGTTCTGAAGATGCATCATTCTACTGTCTCCTTATATAAACAACATTTCAAAGATTCCATTATCCAGTACATGCTTATGGATAACATAATGTGAGCAATTCATAAAAATTGACATGAGTCAGATGCTTATTATGACAAAGATAACAAGAAATTTGTGAAACACAACAAAAGAGTGAGTTGAAGCAAATGAAATGAACCTTAAAAATGAAGGCTTGGACCGCTCAGTGATAAAACTGAAAAAAACAATAGCACAAAATAAATAAAATCAAAATAAATATTCTTCTTTCTTTCTTTCATCAATATCTGCTTAGGTCGCTGTTCATCAGAGCCAGGGCGCGCTCGGTTATGCAGTCTCAAGGTGTCAGTGACTCCTTCAATCCATCTTCTTCTCTGTCTTCCCCTGCCTCTAGGTGTTTCGGTTTTCAGGCTGTACTCTCTTGCTGTTGGCATCATTGGTTTCACTCTCTTTAGATGGCCAAGCTATTTCATTCTTTGTTTCTCAATTAATATTCATTTATAAAAATACACATGGTCAGAATACATCAATCTTCTTGAAAGCAGACATTTGTTACACTGATCTCTGACTTCTAGGCTGACGCAGCCTAGAAGAGGCACCAGGAAAAATTATGAAAAGCAAAGGCAGTCAGCATGAACTGGCTATATAATCCACTGAACGCTGGCTATTCTTTGAGCTGACACCATACATTAGAAAAAGCCACTGGGTGGACAGGTTTCCCCCCCCCCCCCCTCCTATTTGCAGACACACACACAGGTGGCACACAGGTATGTATAATGGAAAGAGCAAAGTTTACAGAAAAATAATTAAAAAACATGAAGAAAAAAAGCATTAACAAAATAAAATAATCTAAATAATCAATTAATTGTAACAAAAAAATCCAACAGTGAGAGCGGATATCCATATACTCATTTCATGTATGAACCCTGTTTCACCTGCAACATCACCATTTATAAATCCACTCTCAATTAACACATTTCCTTCAAAGTCGGACTGCATCTGCCTGAGGGGCAAGTAACCAACAGTCTGCACACAAATAAGCTAAGTCTGTAAAATAGACATTCATGCAACACTCAAGCCACGGAACTCCAATCAGTCCAGAAGTGGAGGAACAACCTGGACTTCCCAGCCAGTTAACACATAGAAGAAGCCAAAGAATAAGAAAACACACAAATAAGCAGGTAAATTAATATTCTCCACATGAAGAAACAAGGAAAGGCACACACCCACACACAAAAACTGCAGACAAGTGACTGATGACAAGAACTCACCTGGACAGAGTGTTGAAGCGGACTTCTGGAGCAGGTATATCATCAAAGAAAGGATCTTCCTCAGGGTCACTGCCAAAGTCATCTCCAGCAGGACTGCTGCCCAGTGTAGACACAGTGTTGTTCTGAAAGGCTGGCTTTGCTGTGTTTGGAGTTGAAGTCACTACCAGTGAGGTTTGCTGTTGTGTCCCATGTTGTACTTTCTGTATTAAAAATTTGATGTTAAATAATGCGGATACGAACAATACATGGCACAATTTATTGCCAGGCATTTTTCACTGTATCTTGTCAGGTGCGTTGCTACAGGGTTAATCAACACACAATGAAGCAAACAAGCAAACCGAATAAATTCCACTGAAATACAAATGGTCACACTTGACACTGTGTTCATCTAATCACTGATTGAGATACAGCAAATTACACCTTGCAATAAATTGTGCAGTCACAGTTATGATGATCTAGACATGCAAGCAGAATGGGAGGGAATTGGAGAGCATGGGAAGCCAAGAACCTGACCACCAGGACGACCCAGGGTTCACTGGGAAGACAACATTCCACAGTCCCTGAATGAAATAAAGCCAAAAAGAAAACTGCAGATAGAGACGACTGGCGATCTCTCTGGCAAATCTTTACACCCCAAGGTAGAAGAGGATCGACTAAGTAAGCAAATAAGTAATAAATTGTTAAATGTATTGTTTGTGTCCACATTTTTGAAATTCATTTCAGAAGACAACTGTTTAAAAAAATTTGCTAATAATCTTCCTCTGTTTAAATTTTTACATCAACTTCTATCGTTCTTATGCTTCTTCTTGTCCCTGCCATGTGGCGCTGGTAGTCATGTCTAGCTACACCTTCTGTCTTGTGTACTTTCAAACAACTCTGACACAGATGATCCTCCATGCCATGTCAAACTGGCCAGTATCTGTTTTCTCGGTCTCCCTCTGCCTCTTTTCCCCTCAAACTTTTCTACCGTGACGATGTACTCGTTTTCTCCTTCTCGTGACATGATGAAATAATGTAGATTTCCTCATTCTGATGTGGGCAATCAGATCTCTTCAAGAGTCAGTTTCTTTCAAGACATCTTCATTACTCTTTTTATTTGTTCAGGGTATTCTCATCATTCGTCTACAAAGCCACATCTGTGCCGCAGCCATACATTTTTTCACGAACTGGGCAACTGTACATGATGCACTTCTGTACCACAGCATACCTTTCAGCCTTCTTCTACTACCACAATCTTCAATATATTTATTTTGATTTTCTTAATGTTGGAAACAACCTTTTTCATAATTCCGAAAACACCCACATTTATCATTAAAATTCTGACAGTATTCATTTATTATCTTAAACTAATTTTGTATACTGTCTCCAAAAGTAAATCTGGATACTCACTGCTGTCTCTAGGAATAAATCGTGCAGAGGTAGGTAAGTAAGTTGTACCCTCGGCATCACACAGCGCGATAAACACGCGATGAACCAAAAGTGCCACCATGCGGATGAGGATCACCCATGGAGAGGTCCGGGAAACCCTGTTCAGCTGTTAGGCCCTATTTAAGGCTGGCTATACTTGGGGCCCCCGGCAAAAGCCAGGAAGGGGCTTCAAAATAACTAAACATTGCATCCTACATAAGGATGACAGAAATGTGACTCTCACAGCATCATCCAAAACCATGAGAACAACTTGTTTTTCTTTAAATTAAAAAAATCTGCCACAGAAATCAAATCCTAGTACCTGATAATTATGAAACTGTTAAACTCAATGCCACACAATGAAGAATAATTAGAACCTCAATGAAACAAATACCTAAACCACAAGGGAGGAAATAGTAAACAATATTTAAATGACAATGGAAAAAAAACAAAAACAACAAAGGGGAATAACCAAACCACAAGGAAAAAATGAAAATGACTGAATATCTAACCTTCAAATCTTGTCTGCTGCCGGGGGAGATAATATCTTCGACATCACTGGCAACAACGGTTCGACACAACAAGAACAGCCGCTTGTACATGCCCAAAAATTCAGTGAAGTCAATCGCTACAGAAACACAAGCAAAGATCATTCTAACAGTGATTTTATTTAACTAGCACTTTTATTTATTATTTTAAGCTCTATGTCAATGAATTTACACATCTTTCTTAGGACGTTATTTTTTGTTATTTGAAGCCCAACTCTGGCTATTGCCAGGGGCCGCAATATAGGCAGGTCATCATTATGGCCAAATGTCTGAACGCGGTTTCTGGGACCTCTCCACGGTGATCCTCATCCGCATGGTGGCACTTTGTGTCATCGGGTGTTTATCGCTTGTGTGATGTCCTGGTGGGGTAAAAAGCCAATCCAGTCATTGAATTTTCTCTAAACACAATACATGATTCGTCCTTTTTAGGACAAATTTTTTTGTTATTTGAAGCCCCACCCTGGCTTTTGCCAGAGGCCGCAATATAGGCAGGCCATAAGTATGGCCAATTACCTGAACGCGGTTTCTGGGACCTCTCCACGGCGATCCTCATCCACATGGTGGCACTTTGTGTCATTGGGTGTTTATCGCTTGTGTGATGTCCTGTTGGGGTAGAAAGTCAGTAAGTCAATGAATTCAATATTTTCCTTTCTTCTTTTTTTAAAGATCTTTGTCGTCTATATTTTTGAATGCATTGCAGTTTGTTTACCCACTCTTTGTATACAATTCAAATCTTTAAGTCTTTGTTCCAGGGCCCCATTTCACAAGCATGTCCTACAAAGCAACTAATTAAGGGTGTGTTTAAGTTGGAATGCATTTGCCTGAAAGGCAATGAACCAACAGTCTGCATACAGATAAGCCAAATCTGTAAAAAGATACGCATGTACAACTCTAGTTCTGTAACAAAACCAGAACTTTCCGGCACAGTTTACAGCTGGTCAATACTAAACTAAGAGAAAATCTTGCAGAACAGTTTTCATCAATTTATAACCCTCATCATCACAGTAGTAAGCATAAAGGACATGGTTTGCCATCTTATATGACCACCAGTCTTAGAGCAGGTTTGTGTTCTTACCCCAGCCATGTCTTGCGGCCAATCCATCTAAGTGTTTATTTCAATCTCTTTCCCCATCAATTTTTTGGTTGTCACTGAGTTTAAAGTTTATTTCTCATCATAACATGATTAAAAAAATCTTAACTGTTTAGATGTATTTTTTCTAATCAACAGAGATTTACACCTGTGCATGTGCGTTTCTTTTTATCACACTAACAGAGGTAGTATCACAAATACTGATGTATTGGGAACAGGCATCACAACAATATTCTCAATGCTTAGTCCACACAAGCTTAAGTGGCAGGTCGCACCTGGAGAATGGAGGATGCCAGAGTCCTTAAGGATATCCTTTATGGTGAATTCATGATGAGTAGAAGATGTTGAGGCTAACCTCTACTACGATATAAAAAAAGTGTGCAAGTGGGACATGAATGATACAAGCACTGAGGTGGACTTGTGGGAACAAAACGCCATGAAACGTATTGTGTGAGGGTGACACACTAGGAAGGGAATTAAAATGAAGGAAGAAATTATTGGTGAAAGAATGAGAGCTGAGCGTCTGAGAAGAAACAGACTAAACACAAATTTTGACAGCAGTCTTGAAATCCCATGCTATAATTATGGAAGAATTTTCTTAACGCGGTCGGGTCTTGCTAGTCACACTCACCATCGCCTTGGGCTGTGAGTCCCATGCCTCCTCATAGTCCAATATAGAATGGTGCCAATCAATCAATCAACTGATGTAGTGAATTTGTAAATGTATAATGCCGCAGCTGTTACAATTACATTTACGGTAAAAATTCTCATTTCTTTCTTCTTCTTTTCAGTCTCCCTACCTGTAGTTTTCGGATGAGAATGCGACAGGCCTCTATAAGCCTGTGGTGTGACGCATGACTTCCATTGATCCACAAAGCCTGGTTTCTATAAGAAAGCCAAATGGCGACACCTGGGATCTTTCTACTGCAGCGGTTCTCAAGCTGTGGGCCACAACCCATTTGGGTTGTTGAACGACTCTTACACAGATCATTGGAAAACACATATTCACTAAAGTAATGAAGTAGCAACGAAAATAACTGTATGGCTGGGGGTCATCACAACATCAGGAACTGAATTAAAGGGTTGCGGCGTTAAGAAGGTTGAGAATCACTTTTCTATTGCATGCAGAAAGTCAGTCTGCAGCACATGTTCATCATTCTGGCATGCCTGTGTGGGTGAAATTCTGAGTCCTATTTTTTGAATTTTTTTACATATGGCTGCGGAGTCTATGGTATCCAGTTTGCAGTCTACATACAATGGTCTCTGTTTCTTTTACGGGATTAATGTTTTCCAAATGACAAAATTTGTAAATAAAAATTCAACAAAGCCCAGTCACCAAACTAACATGAAACCAATAAAAAACCAGAGCAAAGACCCTTAACAAAATTATACCATGCAGTGATTACAAAAAAACCACTACAGTATATAAATTTTAAATGCAGCATGAATTCATTTGCAAATCTATAGTGTGCAATCCATTCTTAAAACTGTAACATGCTGTCCATTTCCAAAGCTTATCAAAAACATCACCAAAATGCAGTTGTCATTTTATAGCCCTGTTAATTAAAAATAGTCAAACCATAAATTTTGTTTACCTTTGTAAAAGTTTATGAAGAGAAAGACAGATAAAGACAATACAAGAAGATTCTTAGCAGCTTTGGTCAAGGCACAGAAAAAAAAACATGAACACACAAACTGGTACATGCTGCTGAAGATGGCAAATTGTGGTGCATGATTTTCTACACCAGTCAACAAGGCACTAGATGAAAATACTAAAATTCTTCTTCACTCGCTTTTGAAAGGTTACCTGGCACATTGTATTACGGTTTACAATAATACTTCAATATCTGTGCCCTTTGACCCAATACATGTGATTTCACCAAACCCTTAATTAGTCGCCTTTTACAACATGACTGTTCTGGGTCAGTGGGTCGATTATTTTGCAAAAAAAAAAAAAAAAAAAAAAAAGTCCTGGTAACCATTCAGGAGACTCAAATTGACTACGGAACTTTGAGGTTGCACATGCAAAATCATAAAACAAATTGAAAAAGCCGGTGCATGCAAGACATGACGATAAAATCAATACCTCGTGGTGTCAAAGAATACATGGCTTGAAGACAAATAGATCAGATAAACAAATTAAAGTTTATAATAATTGCTGGACAATCAAGTGGAACCTGTATTTATAAAACTGCTTGAAAATTAAAAAAAAAATACAAAAATAAATATATTGTATTAAGACAGCATTATAAATATTTACAACACTGTGGTCAGAAAAATAAACTAAAAACATTTTATTGTTTTGTTGAAATACAAAATTCAAACAATACCTGAAAATTATGAAAGATAAAAGAGGAGAAAATGTATTTAATGGTTTCTTGTTGTGCCTTGTGCAATCAATGTCTGTCACATGTGTAGCACAGCACGGGTTATGATCTGGATGGCATGCTTGTCTTCGTTGGTCTCCCATGGTTTCCAGATAGGTATACTTTGGCAGGCCAGGTTGTCCCTCACATTCTGGAAAATTCTGGCCTGCTTATTTTTATTAAAGGAAGTGCTGTGGATCCCACAGTTGTAAGTGGGAAGTCGGTGAGATCCTTCTGATGACAAGCACACTCTGAGTCTACAGCAGAATCCTCTTTTGAGTCTGAAGACAGGGGCCTGCTGACTTCTGATTAGACTGTGTCTAATTAGATACATCTAATGAGATTCTCAGGGAAAGTAAGTGTGACCAGCCTGAAAGTTATGGAACATGTCCTTTGTGGGTCATTTGCTGTCCAATATATCAATCATCAGCGCCTCGTCACCCGGCATGGCAGATGATGATAATGAAGTTAGAACGGCCATATCATCGTATAGAAACCACAGACCATAAAATCTGGCCATTCGTGAACAAGCCTACACAAAGCTTGCTGTGAACTGGCCGTGGGTCTACACTCCAATAGCAGATGAAAGGCAGAAAAGGGGACAGGTGGCATTCAGGGTATCAAATATATCGTTATTTTGGAGGAAACAAAAAAAAGAAGAATGGACCCATTGCCTCCCTTATCAAGCATGTCATAAAAGGTGACTAGCTAATAAGGGATTTTATCCTTCGAACTTGGAACGCATCTGCCTAAGAGGCGAGGAAGCAGCAATCTGCATACAAACTAGCAGATCTGTCAATATTGGATATCCACACAATGTTAAACTTCTGGAATAAGAAGTGGACAAATAACTAGAACTTTTGGTTGGAGTTTACAGCTGGGGAACGCTAAGAAGAAATAATTTAATCATTTGTGACTTTGTTCGGCTTATGAGAACTAAAAGTGGTGATGCTTCAAAGATATTGTACTTACAACTGCTGAAGTTTCTGTCTGCTGCATTGAACTCATCATTGACATAGCGCTCCAGCATATTGCGGTTGAAGCTTGGGAACATGTCCAGGAACAATTGCCTCAGCTCATCTTTATCAATGTTGCCGCTGTTGTCCTAGCGCAAAGTAAAAGTAACATCATGTGATATGCACGGACAGAATCAAACAATATATACAACATATTAGGAAAGAAATAACTGCATGACCAGATTGTCAACAGCTACAGACCTCCTCGTGTTCAGTTAAGAATTGACATCACAGCACTCAGGACATTCTCATAAGTGCTTTGTCCTCATCTTCAGCAGCCGGTGAGGATTTCCAATTCCGATGGTGCCAGTAGCAATCTGATTATGTGTCAGTCTTGCTTTTCCTCTGAGTGTCGAGTGTTGACCAAATTCCGCGGCCACTCCTAGTGGTACCAAACCATAAGGATCTATTCATGCCTCCGCATTGGTCACTCGCTCCTAATAGGCCTTGACCACATCTTGCTTGTCGTGCATAAATTCACCATCCGTTGGTGCAGAATCAGCCAATCTGTCAGACAGTTCCTTTCCCAACACTCCTGCACAACACCAAGAAGTGTCCAAAGAATGCTAACCACTGGGACTTCTGAAGCAATGCTTGCCACTATGTTGGTAGGATGCACATCACCTTTCTGAACATGCTTATGAGTCGGTTACAATCATGACAAGTGTGTGCTGCTGGTTCTCAAGTCAGCAGAAAGCAGCTGTGACAGCCTCAACCTCAATTCTCAAACTAGATGTTGTGGTATCATATGCTGGACATTGTAGCAGTAATTAAATTATGTTACTAGCATCATCATCAATTTCCACTTCTGCTGTTGTCAGAGATAACAAAAGGAACAGTTTGCAGTCCAGCACTCAATGGATCGCACCGGCTACTGTCATTCCATGTGGATGTATACTGTCTTTAACCAATCTTCTCCTTGGATGCCTTCTTATGGATGACTAAACCATTTGATTAGAAACAAGCACAACTGGATTTGAATATATAGTATGCACATGTGTGTCATGACTGTGGAAATCCTAAGGAAACTACTAGACAAACTTTCAAAGAATAAGCTTGTGAATATTTCAAAGTGAAGTTTCTAGAGATGTCCTCCTGCGGTCCACAGGCTGTTACTAAAGATGAGACCAGCACCTCCTCTTTCAACACTTTCATACAATAGAAATGTTTACTGTGAAAACATAAAAGCACTGATAAATTGTTTTTATACATGAAACGGAAACAGCCCCAGAACTTCCACAAGCAACTTAACTATTTGGTTTTTACCTTATCATACATTTCAAATTTGTCCCTGGCATCCGAAATCTGTTTTTCTGACAGATCCTGAGGGGAAAAAAACATTTACAGAAAGACAGTTAATTGCCCAAATTTTACAATATAAACTACATTTTTTTTAAACTATGGTAATTGTGTTGAGATAAATTATGTTTGACATGCTTCAGATTTATAAATGTGCAGTGTTTGAAGATGTAAAATGAAAATGGCTGAAGCATCACCACGCACTCTTGTTTCACTGCGGTGGCACAGACTTCCGATACACTGTATACACACAACTGTCAAAAATGTTACAGCTTACCAAATCTACCCATCACATGATACTGTCTATAAATAGAAGATACATTCTTTTTCTTTCCCGGATACAATCTTTTTTTTTTCCCGGTTGAGTTTTAAAATGTTTTCTTTAATGCCACACAAAATAATTAACAATAAGTTATATAATGGCCCAAATTGTGGAACAGTAAAGAGCTAAGGGTAAATATCCTCATCTGCAGACTTGGTGTTCACAGCTTGCAACAATATCAAAAATTGCTAAAGAACACGTGGGAATTTCCCCCTAAAAATTGTTTGAAAAAAAAACCAACCATATTACACAGGTCACTAATAAATGTTTATGAAAAAATGTAATCTAATTTTTAATTTGTTTTTGAAGTTTTTAAAGATTGTATATCTTTAAATACTTCAAAAACAATTTAAAAATTTGCAGTGACAGATATATTCCCCATGACCAAACACAAAAATACTGATCAGACAACTCATGCCGTGGGCTACGCTTTTCAAGAGTAGGTTTCTGCAGACATAGCATCATATCTACATTGACGGGACCATGTTGCAACTGGAAGTGACTAAATTTTTTGGCAAGATGGTTGTAACAAAGATGCAAAATCTCTCAGATTATTGTATCTACAAGCAAGAGGAACTAATCAGAACTATTTCATATATTTATCAGCAACAAATTTTAATATTATAGATTATGACAGCTATTCTATTTCTTTAAAAGCCTTTCCAGATCCTTCTATTTCACAGATGTCTGTTGTATGCTGCACTCTTCAACTCCATCTATATGTTATGCTTGCAGGGGAAGTCCCGTTTAAAAAAAAATGCTTTAAAAAAATAATAATTTGAGTTCACTAAAGATTTTTAAAATTCATTCACTTAAAAAATTTCAATTGAAATATACAAAGATTCACAGAGGAAGTTACCAATAAACATGAAGAAAGTGAAGTCTTAAAATCAAATATATTCCCCAGGCTCATGCAGGGAACCCTATCACTGAGGCTCTGGGAAAATGTTGATGTTAACTTGGCTTCAAAAATAAAGAAAAAAGGAAATAAATTCCTTTTCTTCCCTGATCAGTTTTTACAAGCCCCCCCCCCCTCAGTAAATAGTGTCATATCCTGACCTCGTTAATGCTGTGCAGGTGCGAAGACATCCAATAGCATTAACAATATATCTTGTTAACATGTCACTTTAGAAAAAGTAAAGTGTGACACTTTACAGGTAAATGGGCCCAAAAGATTTGGTTTTGCAGCTTTTCAAAGCGACTGCGTTAATAAATAAACCAAGCCGCAACAGCCTTCACTATATTTAAAAACTTCTCTTTCTTCTGTTACACCATTTCAGATTCGTTTATTTGTCACAAATTTGTTAAAAGCGCAGCAAGCAAATGGTTAGAAATATCTAGCACTCTACAATCTGCCGTGAAAGCAGACACATACTTGAAGTTGAAACCACTCACAAGTAAAAGTATATCTATTGTGTTATAGCACATCTGAAGTAGGGACATATGCGAGGAAGAGAACAATGTTCTACATTCATTCATCTTTTCCAGACAATCATCATTAGTGATTCTGACAGCTCAAGATATTTGTAGCATTCATCTGATCCGAGAAACCACATCCAACATCTCTATTTAATCCAAACTCTTTCCAATTTTCTTGGCCAATAATGTGTTAGTTTACTGTATATATATGATGAACCACTACAGGCTAAACATGATTCTAACATGACCACACTTGGCTTGTCAGCAAGTATGTAAAGCAATAATGTCTTCTTCTGCGTGTTTATCAGATGTAAACTCCGGCAGAAAAAGCTGGCCATTTGTCCGTCACCGGACTTGGAGTCTTATTCCAGAACCTGAGTTTTGCTTGCAAATCCATTTCACAGATCTGGCCTATTTGTATGCAGATACTTGCACTTGGTTCCTTGCGCCTCATTCAGATGTACTCCTACATGCTTCTGTGGAGACAGTGCTTCTATTATCTCTCCCCGCCCTGAAACCCACTCAGGGAAAGCGTTAATTTAATTGCACAGCAGTAACTAGCAACTAAAAAATTGTATATATGTGAATATATGGGTACATTACCCTGTAAGACTCATGCTGGGGACAGAGGTTGGTAACATTCAACAACAATATGTTCATGTTAAACCTTTACCTAAAACAATATGTTTAGGATAAAACTTTAACTAAATACAATATGTTCATGACAAGCATATAATCAAAGCCAACAATATGTTCAGGTTAAAACTTTAACTAAAAACAATATTTTCATGACAAACATATACTCAAGGGCTACGACCACGCAAAAGATCACTCATCATGTTATTTATCTACATCAACTCTTACCCCCCCCCCCCCCCCCCCCCCGTTTAACCCCCAAATATATAGCTATATGAAGGAAGCAATCAGTAACACAGAGTGAAGCACTAAAAAGAAAACATGGTACCATGCAACTCATTTTATGACCCCATGACCTGTATCACTGAGCCTTATGGAAAAATTTGACCTCAGTCTGGCTTTAAAAAATGTGTCTTTGGTTTTCATGAAAATCTCTCAGTTGCTACTTTTAGCTAATACATTCATATCCTGACCTCCTAAACAATTGCACTAGCAGGAACTCAGCCAATAGCATAAACTATGTGCTCCACAAACACATCACTCCAGACCAGTGTTTCTCAACCTTTTCACACCGGCGGCTCACCACAACAGGGGGAATTGTTACAGGGCCCACCACAACAGGGGGAATTGTTACAGGGCCCACCACAACAGGGGGAATTGTTACAGGGCCCACCACAACAGGGGAAATTGTTACAGGGTCCACCACAACAGGAGGAATTCAGCAACTGATTAATTAAATCCTATGTCACAAAATTACCATTTACAGCTGAGGTGTACATCTTTTGATTCTCACATTTAAGGTGTAAATCCTAAAGAATGCAACTCTGGAAGAGAAAAACGACCTTCCATACCCTGCTACATGAAATCTGAATGCAGAAATGTTACTCGCCCACTGGTTAAAGAACACTGCTCTAGACAAGTCAGAAAAGTGACATTTATGGGGAAATAAACCCAACCAGAAAGGTCAGTTTTGTGGGTTCTCAGGGCAAAGAATCTAATGCCATCATTCTTGTTCTTCTTTGACCCTTTACCAACCACAGACGAATAAGCTCATAAAGTACTCATGCAAGCAGTCCCTTTGCCATCATCTCTCAGTTAACTCCATATAATTCTCATCCTGTTAACTTGCTTACTTCTCTTCAATACAGGTTGTTTCTGGGTGTTAACCTTTATTTCTTTAACCCTGTGATTTTCAGCACAAGTATATTCCAGCTACATTATTATCAGGTTTTCTCTATGTGTGCTATCCAATGCCAACATATTTTCATCACCTCTCGATTCATGTGAATCTGTTGAATTCTTCCCTTTAGCTCTAAATTAATGATTCCATCATTGAACTCCTGTTCTACAGAGCCACCAGTAATGAAGAAGTTATGAAAGCAAGTGACAATGCTTGGATACAAAAGGTGAAGGTGGGTCATGGGAAATCAGAGGCTAGGCAAAACAGAAGATGCCAGTTAACTTCTTTATGTAAATTCTTGAGAAAAGTCCTGATTGTTCACCCATGACTGAAGTGTCGCATGCATATCTATCTTATCTTTGTGCAGACTGTCAGTTCATTGCCTTTCAGGCAGATGCAATCCAACAACAAAGGAACAATGGCCATGATGCTGGTTGGAATCCTGTTTTCTTTTTCTTCTTCTTTGTTCATCCAAAGATGCAAACGCATTGTGCTTATTTACAACATGACAGCGATATTTGCACCGCTTGGCCAACACATCTGGCTTCTACAGGCATTTGTTGCCTGAGTTATCTTTCCGGGGAACTTGTTTTCTAGGATGACCACGGACAGGAGTAGATAACTATTGACCATCATGCTGCCTGCTGCTGGTGTACCACCCCATCGTGGTTCAGTACCTCTGACTTCAAACAGCTAATGCAATTTGACCATCAGGTGGCACAAGATGAAGAACTCACCTTGGCAATCTGCACTCCATCACCGGATCCTGAAGTGCTGGCAGCAGTTCTGCTCTGAGTAAGAAGGCAGGTCAGCAATGGTGCGTCTGGGGATGCATTTGAAGGTGGAATGTTGCACTCCTTTAGCAGGTCAGTTCGTTTTACTTGCTCATTCTGTAAACATAAGTTTCTTCACGTCACCACCGTGCAGGGCAAATGTTCTCCCTGACCAAGCCTATTTTCTAACTGGCAAACATATGATTATTTCTGCTGGCATAACATATTACCCTAGAAACATGTGATTAATTCTTCCTCATACAAGTTACAGTTTACAGAATAACAAACATGCAATTGATTTCTTTTCTATGCCAAGCATATTTTCTGACAGATAAATGTCCTGCTTTCCATCACACTTTACAAGTCAACTGACAAATTGTGAGAGGTAGCTCAGGGTGGCCTGCTCCATATTATCTTCTCATTTCATAAATCACTGGCAGTCAGGTCTACTTTATAGACTTTAGAAGGTGACTTCTGAAGTGAAAAGTTGCCCTCAAACAAAACAACAACAAAAAACGGACAACTCTGTTCTGTAGGTAAAGGAGAAGCCCGGCTCTCTAGCGAAGTTGGTTAAACCTGACTTTCGCGGCGGCCAGGTGACGAACTCCTTGTGGTCCGGGTTCACTCCCGGGGGTAGGCAGAAAAGCCACATTTCTCCCAGATTAACGGTACATATAATGGAATCAATGCCAAAGGGTTGCGATATCCATAGCACCGAGCCAAAGGGTTTACAACTCATGGTTTCTGGATACGTTGAAAAAAAAAAAGGTAACGGAGCCATTTTTTCTTCTTCCTGTCCGCCAGCTGTAAATTCCGGCAGAATGGTTGTTCGCCCACTTCTGGACTCTGGTCTTGCTCCAGAACTTGAGTTTTCTGTGAACATCTGTTTTTATAGATCTAGCTTATTTGTGTGCAAACTATTGTTTGGTCACCTCTCAGACAAATGCACTTTGAATTTGAAGGAAACATCCATAACGAGTCACCTTTTACGACATACTTGTTGGAGACTGTCCATCCATGGTAGGTATAGGACAAACATGTAATTCATTATTCCCCCGAGAGAGCCCATTTTCCAACAGAAAAACATGTGATTACCAGAGACATGAATCTCACCAGGCCAGTTTCTGGTTTGAACACAGCCAAAGTAAACTCCAAGCTAAAGAATTCCAGAAATTCCTGCACCAGACTGGCTGTCAACTTTCCTGCAGAAATAGAAAATTACAAGCATAAGCTCTACAGTTGCAAACAAGGTTTCAATCAATCAATCCTCATCGCTCCCAGAGTCACATAAGGCAGAGACAAACTGTCGCCACTCAGTTCGATCCTGAGCCATCCTCTCTGTCTCAGTTTTGTCCTTTGTGTAGCCTTGAGTTCAGTCTTAAAGGTTTGACCCTGAGTGACTCTGGGCCTGACTCTTCCTTGCTATACTTGTGGAGTCCATTGCATTGCCTGAATCGGCCATCGCTCAATCTTCATTCTGAGGACCTGTCTAATCCACTTCCATCGACATTTTTTTATTTCTAAATTTACATCTTTTAAGTTTGTCATTTGTTGTAATCTAGAATTGCTGATTTTATCTTTCCATTTGAACCCCAACAATCTTCTGAGAAGTCTTCCCTCAAAACCTCTGAGCATGATCTCTATCTGTCTGTCTGTCTTCCAAGTTTCCGCTACATACAGGAGAAATGTCCTAACGCATGTTTTGTATATCCTGAGTTTAGTTTTAGAGCTGTAGATGTTTGATCTCTAGACACTCTGAAGTCTGTTGTAAGCAGCATTTGCCTTTGCACTTCTGTGCTGGATTTCAACCACTACATTTCCATCCGAGGAGATATTGCTACACAGGCAAGTGAAGTCAGTTACTGTTTCCAAACCTACTTTATCTATTACTATGGGTCTTTCATTTTGGAGGTTTATTTCCATCAGTTTTGTTTTACTGACACTGATTCTTAACTTTGCCTGTTCTGCTATTTCTGTGATCGTTTGGTTTACACACAAAAACAAGAACAGGCAAGACTGTAGAGGAGACAGCACTGCAGATGCAGACAGACAGAATGATTTAGAGGCAGGATATTTGCCTTGTAGTCAAGGGTACCCTAAATAACTCATGATGTAGATAGACAGAATGATTTAGAGGCAGGATATCTGCCTTGTAGTCAAGCGTACCCTAAATGATTCATGGTGTAGATAGACAGAATGATTTAGAGACAGGATATCTGCCTTGTAGTCAAGGGTACCCTAAATGATTCATGATGTAGATAGACAAAATGATTTAGAGACAGGATATCTGCCTTGTAGTCAAGGGTACCCTAAATGATTCATGATGTAGAGAGACAGAATGATTTAGAGACAGGATATCTGCCTTGTAGTCAAGGGTACCCTAAATGATTCATGATGTAGAGAGACAGAATGATTTAGAGGCAGGATATCTGCCTTGTAGTCAAGGGTACCCTAAATGATTCATGATGTAGAGAGACAGAATGATTTAGAGACAGGATATCTGCCTTGTAGTCAAGGGTACCCTAAATGATTCATGATGTAGAGAGACAGAATGATTTAGAGGCAGGATATCTGCCTTGTAGTCAAGGGTACCCTACATGATTCATGATGTAGAGAGACAGAATGATTTAGAGGCAGGATATTTGCCTTGTAGTCAAGGGTACCCTAAATGATTCATGGTGTAGAGAGACAGAATGATTTAGAGACAGGATATCTGCCTTGTAGTCAAGGGTACCCTAAATGATTCATGATGTAGATAGACATAATGATTTAGAGGCAGGATATCTGCCTTGTAGTCAAGGGTACCCTAAATGATTCATGATGTAGAGAGACAGAATGATTTAGAGACAGGATATCTGCCTTGTAGTCAAGGGTACCCTAAATGATTCATGATGTAGATAGACAGAATGATTTAGAGACAGGATATCTGCCTTGTAGTCAAGGGTACCCTAAATGATTCATGATGTAGAAAAGACAGAATGATTTAGAGGCAGGATATTTGCCTTGCAGTCAAGGGTACCCTACATGATTCATGATGTAGACAGTACAGATTTGACAGTATAATAAACTGCAGCATGGATTGCTTATGAGACTTCTCAAATCATGCAAACAAATTAAAAAAAAAAAACCACTAGGTTAACCTGCACGCACACTGTCTACACTAAAAATTAACTGGCAAGTGTAAATCTTCCTCTGCATTCACCCCCAAAAAGGCAGTTGGTACATGTGGTTCACAGCTAGGTTGTGACATCTGCACCTTTTAGCTAAGCACAGTCCTAATTGTTTATATATTATGAGATACTGAACATGGGGGCAGTGGGTCTATTCTTTGTTATTTAAAAAAAAAAAAGAGAGAAGAGAGAAAACGGAACCCTAATAGAGAATCCGCTAGAGATCAAAAGGAGCAGGTCGAAATGAAAATACATTTCTAAACACAGAGTTCATGTATTGGTCTGAGATTTTCACTGTGGAATGGCACTGGGAGTTTTCATTTACAATTAACATGATTCTGTACAAATTAAACCGAAGATTCTTTACAGGGGAAGAAACGTGGACACTACATATTTAAAATAATTTAATTCTTACCAATGTTTTCAATAGATACTGTTTAAACTGACGCAGAAAGAGTCTGATTAGTCATTTTACTCTTGTGGAGGAGGAGATCAGAAAACCTATGGATCTGTACGGAGTGCTGTGATTGACAGACCTCACTAATCACAGTCGAATCTGGTAAAGGTGGTTAGGTAAATGGTCAGTTTGCAGCGATTATTCTTCCTTTCTTTTTTTTTCTGCCTGTTTGTCAACTTCTGGACTTTGGTGTTGTTCTAGAACTGTAATTGTGCATGCACATCCATTTTACAGATCTTGTGTATATGTGTGCAGATTGTTGGTTTCTTGGTTAATTAGCTGACTTTTATGACATGCTTGTGAGGCTGGCAGTGGGTCTATTCTTTTGCTCCCCAAAATGGGACCCTATAATCCACACGGGGATTATACTTATTCATGACTGACTGGTTTGACAGTTATAGTTTTCAACAGGGTGATGTATCCAGTATCACAGAATCTTCCTTGGATGCCTCTTATGACATGCATGTCAGTTTATATTGTTACTGGTACTTACATCATGGTTCTGGAAAATTTATTTTCAGCAGCTTGCATCTGAACAGTCACTTCTTGAAAACAATTTCAAAACCAATACAAGGCAGACTGCTGTCAAATCGCCTGCAGCTGGGATTGAACCCGGCATCCCAGCATTATGAAGCAAATTTGCACCACCTAAGCCGCAGGCGTCGACCAATATGCGTGTATAAACCTGTGTAATAAAACTTACATTGAAGTACTTACCCTCTCTTGTAGCCAGGAAACTTCTCACTTCTTTGTTCAAGAATGAAGTCTTATTCTGAAAGAAAGAAGTAAATTCTGCAAAAAGTCTGACAATACAAATACTAAATTTATTTTAATCAAACAGTTGTTATATCTCCCTCGGTAGACATCCAAGCAAGAGTAGCAGATCTAACCCCAAGCCGGGACATATGCGGTGCTAGCCGCATCAATTTATGAACAAATCAGGCACTCAAGGAATGTGGTCTTCATCTTCTTCAGAGACCTCTGGTGATGAACTTCATCCACTGTGGGCCATAAACAGAGGTCAGCTCATGTTGTTGCCAGGACAGAAAGCCTTACAAGAAAATTTATGGGGTCTGTTTAGCATAAGGTAGTTAATTAGCATGACCAAACTATGTGTGGAAGACACTTGCAACATATATATATATATATAAAAGCAGATGCTCTGTCCCCACTTCAGTTCAACTTGGCCCTGGAGAAAATTATAAAGGAATTGAAACAAGAGTGTACTATAGGAGAAACTACAAGAATACTTTGGTATGCTGATGACATTGATATTGTTGGAGAAAATGAACTACACTGTTAAAACACTCTGTTAAAAGAATCAGCTCAGAAAATGGGACTAGCTATCAATCAAGATAAGACAGAATACATGACAATAACTAGACAGGGAACGGATATAAACTCTGGCCCACATACAAGTCGATAATATGAAAATTCAACTAACAGAAACATATAAGTACTTGGGCGCAAACTTTAACTGCTCCAACATGCTGAGAGAAGAAATACAATCTGGAAATAAAGTATACTATGCCCTTCAACATCTGCTTAAGTCAAAGTGTCTGTCTCACAACATCAAGATCAAAATATATAAAACATTAGTTTTATATGGCTATGAAACTTGGAGCACAACTAAAAGAGATGAAGCCTTGTTACAGGTTTTCGAAAACAGAGTCTCACGTTGAATCTTTGGACCCATAAAAGATGCAAACAGCAGTGAATGGAGAGTGAGAAGCAACAACCAAATTCATAATCTGTTTAAATCACCACTGATCACTGGCATCATGAGAGCTAACAGACTGAAATGTTTGGGACATATTGAAAGAATGTCAGATGGCAGAAAGTAAAAACTGTATACACCGGGGATGAATGGTCATAGACCACGAGGGAGACCAAGAAGACGATAGAGATTTAATATCCAGACAGACCTGTAAACACTTGGTGTTACCAACTGGAAGGAGAAGGCCAACCAGAGAGATGAATGGAGGCGGGTGATATCTGCAGCAATGAACCTTAAGGGCTCAGAATGCTGAAGAAGAAGAAGTTTAGCATAAGGACACTAGTTGTTTGGCTCTGTAATGTCTGGGTACTGAGTCTGCAATTTCTGGGTATTGAGTCTGCAATGTCTGGGTATTGAGTCTGCAGTATCTGGGTATTGAGTCTGCAATATCTGGGTATGGAGTCTGCAATGTCTGGGTATGGAGTCTGCAATGTCTGGGTATTGAGTCTGCAGTATCTGGGTATGGAGTCTGCAATGTCTGAGTATGGAGTCTGCAGTATCTGGGTATTGAGTCTACAGTATCTTGGTATTGAGTCTGCAATGTCTGGGTACTGAGTCTGCAATATCTGGGTATTGAGTCTGCAGTATATGGGTATTGAGTCTGCAATGTCTGGGTATTGAGTCTGCAATGTCTGAGTATTGAGTCTGCAATGTCTGGGTATTGAGTCTGCAATGTCTGGGTATTGAGTCTGCAGTATCTGGGTATTGAGTCTGCAGTATCTGGGTATTGAGTCTGCAGTATCTGGGTACTGAGTCTGCAATGTCTGGGTATTGAGTCTGCAATGTCTGAGTACTGAGTCTGCAATATGTGGGTACTGAGTCTGCAGGTTCTTTCCCAATATCCTACATCAACCAGGGAAGGGGAAATCCACAGGTCATTTGGACAGTCTAATGTTTCAGGAGGTGGCAGATGTAGTAAATTGACATTTCATTTGCCGTGGAGTTTTCACTTTTCTTGGCCTCTGTTCTGTGTATTTGTGTGTGTGTGTGTGTGTGTGTGTGTTGTGGACTCTGTGTGCAATCGGGAGGATGCAGTTTGTGTGTGTGTGTGTGTGTGTTGTGGACTCTGTGTGCAATCGGGAGGATGCAGTTTTTGTGTGTGTGTGTGTGTGTTGTGGACTCTGTGTGCAATCGGGAGGATGCAGTTTTTGTGTGTGTGTGTGTGTGTGTGTTGTGGACTCTGTGCGCAATCGGGAGGATGCAGTTTGTGTGTGTGTGTTGTGGACTCTGTGCGCAATCGGGAGGATGCAGTTTTTGTGTGTGTGTGTGTGTTGTTGTTGTTGGGAAGGAGGATGTAGTTTTGCAATTTTTTGTGTGTGTGTTTGTGTGTTGTGGACTCTGTGCTCAATCGGGAGGATGCAGTTTTTGTGTGTGTGGTTTTGTTGTTGTTGTTGGGAAGGAGGATGTAGTTTTGCAATTTTTTTTTTGTGAAACTCTATGTGCAAATGGCAGGATGCCTTGCCAGTCGGGGTACTTTGGTGGTGGCCCTCCCTAAAAAGGGCCAATCATTCTAGATGTATACTGCTGAGTTCAAGAATGGACAATGGCTGCACTCTGGAGTTGGATGTAGATGGGTTGGAGTAAGGGCCTGTTCTAGATGTTTTGGGGTTGTTAAAAGCGCTTACATCGTGGAATATAGAACACACAATTTTGCGGGCAGGTGACAACAACGAATAAAAGACAATGTCATCCCAGATATATACCGCTGAGTTCACGAATCGACACTCAGAACAACTGTACGCGTTAGTAGATCTAGAGAGATGTCAGCATGTGGCAACTAGTGCGGCGGCAGCAGAGACGATAGACCATTGTTCTGGTGGCTAGAATGTAACAATATATGCCAGAATGGCCAATATCACTTCACCTAACCCTAACCCTACATGTCTGAACTATGCATGATGTTGCAGGAAGGCAAAGCTGCTCTTCTTGTTAGGCAACGCCTTCACAGACACAGAAAACCACGTGTGAAAACCTAGGCAACGCCTTTACACACAAAGCAAGTTGGAAAACACAAAACATTGACAGTGGGAAACTTTTCTTACCACCCTCTAAAATAATGGACTGTCCCGTGTCATTATCTGTGGTAGGCTAATGGGAAAGAAACAGTCTGCAATGTCTGGGTATTGAATCTGTAATGTCCGGGTTGAGATCATTAACAGGCCTTTACTTCTCAGAATATCTTCTGGTAATCAAATACCAACTTTAGTGACCTGGAAGCTTTTTTTTTTTTTAAATCTAACTCAGCGAGGGTTTCAACAGATGTGCAGGCAAAAATCAAGTTCTTTAACAAGACTGAAGTCCACAAGTGGACACACAATCAGAACTTTCCACCGCAGTTTACAGCCAGTGAGTGCAACAAAGAAGACTTACCTGTACCTTCTCTTGATCTTCAAGGGCTAGAAAAACACTTGCCCTCAGTTCAGCCTGAGATCAGACATAAAACAGGTTACGCAAATTTTAAATTAACAAAATTTTAAAAATACATTAATAATAGTTCTGAACAGGAACAAATTCTTCAGAAATTGTAGTGAAATATAAAAAATGTAAAATCTGTCAATATTGAAATAAACAAGACTAGAAGTCCAAGATTTTAAATGCTAGATATTTTATAACCATTATTTGAACACACGGTTCTCCTTGCAACTATGGCCACATATTGGGGGAGTATGCCGGAGTTCAGTCCCCTGGCCGCACTGCAATTACGGAATGGAGAAGGAACGAATCACACAACAAAGTGAGGTCGACATGGCTGGCAGACCACGCGCTGCGACTCAAATTAGCTACCGTGTTCTTGCCACGCAAGACTCAGTGGCCGTGGATGTGACACCTGCGGATCTATATGCCGTAATGAGCGATAAGCCTGCGTGGTTGCGGTGGCTAGATAGAGCATAGAGTTATAAGGAACATGCAGGTATGTGGCTCGTGCAACCGTCCTAAGTCGTTAGCGCCTCAGCACGACTGCTGTGACAGATACTCTTGGCGTTGTCGTCACTATAATACTCGGTGTAGCGTTCGAACCGGGTCGTTCATCGCCAACTGCGATATGCCGACCGAGAAACTACTCATGATGATGTTCTATTGGCTCTACGGCGTTAGTTCGACGACTGTCATGGTCTTCAAGAGACTGATGGCCTGGACCACCATTGTAAACTACACCAATTATTTCCGGCAGGAATGCTATAATTGGATGTTGAGACACCGGGTGGAGTTGGGAGGACTTGATGCGACCGGCACATCTGTCGTGGTTGAAGTAGATGAGAGCTACTTCCTCCGATGAACATATCAGCACGGTCGCATCCTTCACGGCCGGTGGGTCGTAGGGCTAGTAGAGCGTCAGACTGGGCATTGCTACTTTGAGGTTGTGCGAAGACGAGATTGGCGAGGCTACAGCAACGTCGCAAACTTAAGGCATGGCATATATCTGCACGAGGTTGTCGTCCACCAGACCAACTTCGTTGACGTCGCCCACAGTGACATCCACACCCAAACACTCTGGATGCTACTCAAACGCAAAATTTGGCACTAGCTGGGCGCTATTGCCTTTATATTTAGCAGAATTCCAATGGCGCCACTGCCACAAGCAGCACATTTTCGGCCATTATTTGCAACTCCTGTGTCAAAATTATCAGATATAGAGGCAGTCATTATGGGTAAGTACTCGATGTTACATGTGTTACCCTAACCCTACCCTATGATGACAGTAGTGCACTGCACCCAACCCTAACCCTATGATGACAGCAGTGCACTGCACCCAACCCTAAACCCTATGATGACAGCAGTGCACTGCACGCTTTCTATCGCTCACGCTGACTATCGCCAACACACACTAATTACGTCATTTGTTTCGTTCCCTCTTCTCCACTCCGTAATTGCAATGCGGTCAGGGGAATGAACTCCGGCGTACTCCCCTAATATGTGGCCGTAGTTGCAAGGAGAGCCGAACACACTAACTAAATGTAACAATATTTAAATTTTCTTAAACTAAGAAATGTTTCAGCCAACAAAATAGATAAATTAATACATACATAACGAAACAAATCTGAAATAATCACAACAGCAAATCGAAAGCTGCTAGATGTTCTAGGATGATGGCATGGAGAAAATAATAGAACTGATCACAGAACTCACACATCGGACCTAGAACTGTAGAGAAGCATAAATGCTAATGAATGGCCATTCTCATCTGAGGGTTGAAGCTGCTTATCTTTTCATTTTGTGTTATACATTTTGTTTGTGCCACAAATTTACAGAATAAATTTTTTTTAAAAGTTTAAAAGTGCCGTTAGATTAGTGTTTTGAATTATAAACTTGATAAATAATGGACATTTTAAACAATTCACAACTTAAAAACAGGTTATTCATCATCATTCATATGCCCTGCCTACTGGCTTAGGCACTCATGCGTCTCCACAGATTACGATCTCTGAAACAGCTCTCTTGATGATATCCCTCAATGCCATCGTTTCAGCCTATATCCAGCATCTTGTCTTTTGGTCTGCCTCTACTCTCTGCCCCTTTTCCCACCGATCTTTCCAGTTGTCACGATGTTCTTCAATGTCTCTCTGTGGCCAAAGAACAGTGTTATTGGCTCTCCTTGCAGATCCGGACGAGGGTTGGACGACTTAGTTCAGTTGAGTGGGAGTTCTCTCCCTTGGCCGCACTCGAAACAGTGAGCGGAAAAGTCACGAAACAAATGACATACTTACCTATCATCATACAGTTGCGTGTAAGGTTGCGTACGGTTGCTGTTAGGGTTGTGTAGTCATCATACGGTTGCGCGAAGGGTTGCGTAGTCATCATACGGTTGCGCGAAGGGTTGCCTAGTCATCATACGGCTGCGTGTAGGGTTATACCTATCATCATACGGGTTTAGGGTTAGGGGTAGGCTTAGATGTGACAATTTTGACGTAGGAGTTCCAAATACTGGCCGACAATCTGATGCTTGTGGGAGTGGCGCCACTGGAAGTCTGTCAAATATGACCGCAATAGCGCGCAGCTGGTGCCCAACTGGTGGTGACGTGTCCGTGTCAGTAGCATCCACAGTCCGTCGACTGTTTGGGTGTGTATGTGACAGTGCGCGATTATTGGGAATTCCTGCATCGTCAAAATTGTCACATCTAACGCTAAACCTAACCCCTAACCCTACCCCTAACCCAAACCCTAAGCAGCCCTACCAGCAACAGCATGATGGACTACGCAACCCTTCAGGCAACCGTATGATGACTACGCAACCCTACAAGCAACCGTATGATGACTACACAACCCTACACGCAACCGTACGATGACTACGCAACCCTAAACGCAACCTACGCAACCTTACACGCAACCGTATGATGATAGGTAAGTATGTCATTTGTTTCGTGACTTTTCCGCTCACTGTTTCGAGTGCGGCCAAGGGAGAGAACTCCCACTAAACTGAACTAAGTCGTCCAGCCCGCATCCAACCCTCGTCCGGATTTGCAAGGAGAGCCGTGTTATTACACTGTGATAAATAATAAAGAATTACTTAATTTAAAACGGTTGTGTAACAGTACGGTTATAATAAACGTCGTATCTTTAACAAAGCACTTCACTTCAAATTCATGCAGTTGTGATTCCTACCCTGAGTTTTCCTAGAGTTCCGTTTGCCTCCAGCGTCTGGGCAACTAGATCACGCAACTCGTTATCTTCGTCCGCGGACATGTTTATGCTGAGATAAAACGTGAGTCAGATTTGATTCTATAAACTGCTTCAATAAGACGAAACTATTCTATTTTAAGAAGGCGGTCGATAAATCCAAGCTGACGTGTAGTCCGTGGCTCTCTCTGGTCATGAAGTCGCCATCTTGTCGCAAAGGAAAACATGTTCAAACGCATGAGCATCTGCTGGTTGGTGGGAGAGTTATCGTCCCTGATGAAAGGTTCCCAAACTGTGGTTCCTTATTGCTGTACTGCGAAGACTCACCATTAACAATCAGCAGTTTTTTTTTTTTTTACAGAACGTCGCTCTCTTCACCGTACCATTGGAAGCCTCTCTTTCTCTAGCCAACTGTTGGGCTGGCGATTTAGAAATGAGATGGCCTAGGTTAGACCAGTCTGTGTGTATGTGTGTGTGTGTCCCTGGCTTGAAATGTAATGGTTCATTTGCAAATTAGAGGAAGAGAAAAAAAAATAGTAATGAATGTTATAACAGGCAGATGATAAATTTGTCCTAGATGATGGTAAATAGGAGATATAGAGAAAGGAGGAGGTGAAATAGGAGAAAGAAAGAGAGGTACACGTTACAAGTACGGGAGAAAAATTGGATTATAAAAGAAAGAGAGGGAGAAAGAGAGAGAGAGAGAGAGAGAGAGAGAGAGAGAGAGAGAGAGAGAGAGAGAGAGAGAGAGAGAGATGCATTAGAAGCACGAGAGAGACTGATTTAAATAGAGAGGGGAGTAGAGAGTAGCATAACAAATAGGAGAGAATGGCTTACAGACAATAACAGAACAAAAGACAAGGGAAGAAAAACTAGACAGATATAATAAGAAAATGAATGTGCCAACAATAATTTAAAATATAAATCTAGGACAATTTCCGGGGCAGAACCTGAAAGTAGTGTATGATCTCTGCAAAGAAAATTTTTGGCAAGAGCCAGAAGAGAAATAAATTCAGTACACTTTAGTGGAACTGCTCGCATGGTAGTTCCTAAGAAAATTTTACTCAGCTCTTTGAACGTCTAAGCTATCTCCTAACCTATGAATAAAAGATTAAAAATTATATACACTCATACCTGGAAACGTTCCAGCAATTCCAAACAAGACTCAACCAGTGAGAAATACTTTCTCTGTAGGTCTGAGTTTGTGGCTAGCTGGCGGCACTATGAGGTAGTTCTGAAATGCTCGCAGTCTACTAGCAAAGTTAACTCCTCCCTTACCTAACCTGTCCCACAAGAAAAGATCTTAGCCACACCCCAGAAGTACCTTGCAGATCAAAATAGCTATCAATGGACCTGTCACTCAAAGTGAACGGCCTTTCCAAGATCACACATTCCTAATTGGTAAACATCTGCTCTCCAGCCAATTTAACTAACAGGTGTGACAATCCAGCCAGCGAACGCCGTCATGTCTGGAGTTACCTACCAGACCACTTAATTCCTGTGATCTGCTCTGTTCAAAAGGCCCCCACTCAGTCTGTGTTATGTAACATTTATGACACTAAGGTTTGGCTCATGTAAGATAATCTCAGGTGTGATAATTAGTTCCCAGTTTGCTGACCCCTAAGTGTCTCTGGTCAGGAGATAATTATATGACACTGGCTTGTAAAACAAATAGCTAGCTAAGGTAATGTTAGGTAATATTACACAAAGCTGGGTTGCTTTGTCTGGCCCAAGGACTGGAAACAATTAAATCCATGTGGTTTTAGTACTTGATTCAGACTTAGGGCATAGCAAATAGAATTCCCTGTCTCTCAATAAACAGAAGAAATTATTACAAGTACTAACGTCTGAAACCACTGAGGTCGTTTCGTCACAGATGCCAGTCAACTCTACTGGTCATTTCAGCACAGAGACACTGAGGTGGCTGATACATCGGAGGACGGAGCACGAACGGGTCGGACCGGTGTGCTAGGATGTTGATAAAGACAAGTATCAGGTTATGGCGTCTAAAGAAAGCTGTAACGCAGGGACACATCATCTGTTTACCTGATACCCGTAGAAACACCCTCCAGAGACTCTGTGAAGTTTTGGAATGAGAAGGAAATTGTTCACAGAAATTATTTCTACATTTTTTAAAATTGAAAAATTAAAAGTTATTATTTTTTTTATTCCCCTAATTACGTCATCGAAGTGTTAGGAAAACGAGGGGTATGAGAGTCTTCTGCGTTTTCTTTCTTTCTTTCTTTCTTTCTTTCTTTCTTTCTTTCTTTCTTTCTTTCTTTCTTTCTTTCTTTCTTTCTTTCTTTCTTTCTTTCTTTCTTTCTTTCTTTCTTTCTTTCTTTCTTTCTTTCTTTCTTTCTTTCTTTCTTTCTTTCTTTCTTTCTTTTTCTTTTTTCTTCTTTCTTTCTTTTCTTTCTTTCTTTCTTTCTTTCTTTCTTTCTTTCTTTCTTTCTTTCTTTCTTTCTTTCTTTCTTTCTTTCTTTCTTTCGATAGAAGAAAAGGAAGGAGAAGAAGAAGAAGAAAGGGGAGGAGGAGGAGAAGAAGAAGATACTATAATGTGATGTGATTTAAATATGTAAATGTAATAATCTATTTAAATCTTTCTTAAGTTGTTAGTATTCACATATTTAAATCACATCACATTATTCTTCCTCTTCTCCTCCTGCCCTTTCTTTCTTTCTTTCTTTCTTTCTTTCTTTTCTTTCTTTCTTTCTTTCTTTCTTTCTTTCTTTCTTTCTTTCTTTCTTTTCTTTCTTTCTTTCTTTCTTTCTTTCTTTCTTTCTTTCTTTCTTTCTTTCTTTCTTTCTTTCTTTCTTTCTTTCTTTCTTTCTTTCTTTCTTTCTTTCTTTCTTTCTTTCTTTCTTTCTTTCTTTCTTTCTTTCTTTCTTTCTTTCTTTCTTTCTTTCTTTCTTTCGATAGAAGAAAAGAAGAAGAAGAAGAAAAGAAAGGAGAAGAAGAAGAAGAAGAAAGGGGAGGAGGAGAAGAAGAAGAAACTAAATGTGATGTGATTTAAATATGTAAATGTAATAATCTATTTAAATCTTTCTTAAGTTTTTAGTATTTGGGGGTGGGTGAGTGAGTGGGGGGGGGCGGTTAGAGCTGATCATACCCTCCCCCTTTCTTTATCTACAAAAAGCACCACAAAGATGAACTGACTTGAAATTTAAAAAAAATGAAAACGAGGCAATGCGTATTATTCTTGGTGCACTAGAGACACCAGTAAATCAATGCGATACCTCTTGGATTTCCCCACAATGGAAAACAGAATCAAGCTATCCAGAACTGTTGCTTTCCTCAAAGTGAAGTCAGACCATCGACACCCACTTTACGAGGAAATATTCAAGCAAAAAAAGAATAGACTCAAACGAGGCAAATTCTGGATGGGGCGGGCTGAGGATGCCATCGAACATGTTTGCCGCCTTACTGACATTAATTTTGGAAATGAATGGATAATTATGCCCCCCTCTTCAAACATTAATATTACAGCCCATATCAGACTTGATGGAAGCTGTAGCGAGCAGACTCCTGACATTGTTGACACTTTAGTCAGAACAATGACTGACGAAAACACAGATGAAGATGATGATATAGTTTACACAGATAGGTCTGTAATTAGGGGCAAGAGAAGTGCATGGGCCTTCACAGTAAGCTTAAGGGGAAAACCATCAAGGAGATGAATTGCGCCTTTGCTATTACAACTAGTAACCTTAAAATGGAAACTATGGCTTTGTACTCAAAAGTTCACACACATATGCATTCTTAGTGACTCGGTAAATATGCTTTAAAAAATCCAAGCTAGATTCAACAGGCAAGAATGGATTGAAACACTAAGCACTTCACGAATATCTGCCCTAACCTTCATCTTTGTGCCAGGTCAATGCGGGTGTTCAAAGGAACGAGCGTGCAGACTATCTTGCTGACACTGCAGTTGCTATGGCAGGCCCAGTACTGGACAGAAGCGATGTTATCAATGCCATGCGCTGCACTTACCGTACCGAGGAGCACGCCAAACGACATGACTCCATATCCTTGTCTAGACTGATGAACATGAGGGTGTAGTCTAGAGCTACAAGAAAGGAACATTTCACTAACAGAAATAGATGTTTGATTAACCAACACAGAACAGGCCTCATCAGTAGTTTTACACTTGTGGAGCTTTTGAGGAGGAGATCAGAGCACCTATGAATCTGTCCGGAGTGCTGTGATGATAATCCTTTTATAATCACTATACCCCCCCCCCCCTTCCCTCCTTTAGCAAAACAATACTCCAGACCCCGCTTATACATACGATCAAAAATATATAAATGTAGACATAGATTTAAACAATAGGTTCATATGAGACACTTATGCAGGTAGTGATCTGGCAAATGCCCAATAGACCTTTGCGTCGAGACAGCATTGGTGGCTGGGGGGGGGGGGGGGGGGGGTGATTAAACCTTCTTAGCTATTACGTTTGTTTTTGTACTCTGTGCAATAATTTTCCTAACTTTGTACTCTGAACTTATCTCTCATGGTTACAGAAAGGAAGACAAGAAAAGGTAGCCATATAATATTGGACAATGACCGGAAGATGAACTTCGATAGTCCAGGTGCCAACAGTGGCCCGGTAATTTTTGAATGACCACTGTCCATAGGGAACAGAACTCACCGCTGACCATGTCACGATGTCCGGCTACTCACCCAACACACCCAGTTGCACGGATAGGGCAGGGAAGTTGACCCTAGATTTAGTCGTGTCCCAGACACTAAATAGAGAGCATTTTAAACCAAGGACTTCTGGGTTTTTATTCTTTTAGGTTAGTGATTAGTTAAAAACTATAAATAAATAATTAATCTTTATTAATTGAACTTAATTGACTGGCTGGTGAATTAAGGGAAACTAAACTGTATACTCTAGTATTATTAATGATGTCTCGTCTTATCTTGATACTCTAGTACCTTACGGTGTCGAAGTGAAAAGTATAATTTAAGGGAAAATGCCCGTTTGTGCGCTTCGTAAATGGGGATTTCCAGGGACTCGGTAATTCCATCTGTCCATTTTTGCATGGTCGTCCTCTTCTTCGCTTCCCGCCTGCTCTGTACATTATTGCTTGCTGTTGTATATTGTTTGTTGACATTCACGTTATATGGCCAAACCATTTCACCTGTTATCTTCCACATTCTCCTTCAGATTTCATAATTTCTGATCTTATCTCTTTTTGTTATATTAAGAACCCTTCGTAGGAATCTCACTTCATTTATAATTTTTTTTTCTGTCATTGTCCAGGTCTGCCATTGATAGCACAGAGTTGGCAAGAAGATTGTGTCATAGAGTGCTCTTTTGGATTTTACGGGCACATACTTGTTTCTTAGTAATGGTGCCATTTGGCCAGTGAGTTTTGTTTGCTCTCTTACATCTGTCACCAATCTCTTCTTCTGTTTTGCCAACTTATGATGATATTCTTTCCCAGTAATTGAAGTTTTTAGCTTGTTTCAGTGGGTGTTCTGTAAGATTACTGTTGTAATTTATATGATTCTTCTTTTTTTTCTCTTCCACCTTGTACCTCATCGAAGTGTCAGGGGGGAGATGTAATGTTCGTTGATGAGCTCTGTCAAGAGTACAATTAAGACTGATGTTTATTTCTGTAAGGCTGTTCTTAATGCCATCACCCATCTTTTCCTAGGTCTTCCACTCGCTCTATACCCGTTGCAACGTTTTAGTGTGGCTCGCTGTTGCGGATAGTACCAGGGCATTCTTGTTAGGTGTCCAAACCACTTCATTTGTTGTTCTTTGATGACCTGTAAGACTGGCTTTATTCCTAGCATTCGTCTGATTTTATGATTTCGTAATCGTATTTATATGATTAAGCTCTTTAAATGCATTAATAACTTACACACGTAGTGATCAAAGGTAATCAACAACATAATTTCAGAAAGCCCCCAACCTCCATTGTTTCTCTGAAGCGGCGCTACTGCAGCCATAGTTAAAGTAGCTATAAAATAATTAATGGGTGTATGAACATGAGATTTTTAACATACAGGGTATAAGCGGGTATAACAGATCTAAAATGTAACATACAGGGATATAACAGATCCGTCATGTAACATACAGAGATATAACCGATGTCATGTAACATACAGGGATATAACAGATATGTCATGTAACATACAGGGATGTAACAGATCTGCAATGTAATATACAAGGATACAACAGATCTGCCTTGTAACATACAGGGATATATTATCATGTAACATACAGGACTATAGCAGATCTATATGTAACATAAAGGGATATAACAAATCTGTCATGTAATACAAGGATACAACAGATCTGTCATGTAACTTACAGGGATATATTATCATGTAACATACAGGACTATAGCAGATCTATATGTAACATAAAGGGATATAACAAATCTGTCATGTAACATACAGGGATATAAATATCCGCTTGTAACATACAGGGATATAACAGATATGTCATGTAACATACAGAGATATAGCAGATCTGCAATGTAATATACAAGGATACAACAGATCTGCCATGTAACATACAGGGATATAACAGATATGTCATGTAACATACATAGATATAGCAGATCTGCAATGTAATATACAAGGATACAACAGATCTGCCATGTAACATACAGGGAAACAACAGATATGTCATGTAACATACAGGGATATAACAGTTATGTCATGTAACATACAGGGATATAACAAATCTGTCATGTAACATACAGGGATATAAATATCCACTTGTAACATACAGGGATATAACAGATATGTCATGTAACATACAGAGATATAGCAGATCTGCAATGTAACATACATAGATATAGCAGATCTGCAATGTAACATACAGAGATATAGCAGATCTGCAATGTAACATACAGAGATACAACAGATCTGCCTTGTAACATACAGGGAAACAACAGATATGTCATGTAACATACAGGGAAACAACAGATATGTCATGTAACATACAGGGATATAACAGTTATGTCATGTAACATACAGGGATATAACAGTTATGTCATGTAACATACAGGGATATAACAGATATGTCATGTAACATACAGAGATATAGCAGATCTGCAATGTAATATACAGGGAAACAACAGATCTGCCATGTAATATACAGGGAAACAACAGATATGTCATGTAACATACAGGGAAACAACAGATATGTCATGTAATATACAGGGATATAACAGATATGTCATGTAACATACAGGGATATAACAGATATGTCATGTAATATACAGGGATATAACAAATCTGTCATGTAACATACAGGGATATAACAGATATTTCATGTAATATACAGGGATATAACAGATATGTCATGTAATATACAGGGATATAACAGATATGTCATGTAACATACAGGGATATAACAGATATGTCATGTAATATACAGGGATATAACAGTTATGTCATGTAATATACAGGGATATAACAGATATGTCATGTAACATACAGGGATATAACAGATATGTCATGTAACATACAGGGATATAACAGTTATGTCATGTAACATACATAGATATAGCAGATCTGCAATGTAATATACAGGGAAACAACAGATATGTCATGTAATATACAGGGATACTTTCAGACGTACTGTAAAGAGAGTGACGTTCTATAAAGGACTTTCTGATTGATGATGATGTGACATACATGGATATATCATATCTGCTAATTAACAAACAGGGACATACTATGATTACTTATGATTGTGTAATGTTATACCTGATTTGGTGCAAACATTTACTACTGTATTCAGGGGTATAACAGATTTATCATGTAGCAAATAGGTATAACAGATTAATCATGTAAGAAATAGTACAACAGATTTATCATGTAACACATAGGTATATTAGATTTATCATGTAATAAATAGGTATAACAGATTCATCATGTAACAATAAGTATAACAGATTTATCATGTAACAACTAGTATAACAGATTTATCATCTAAAAAATAGGCAGAACAGATATATCATGTAAGAAATAGTATAACATATTTATCATGTAACAATTAGATGTAGCAGATAATTCATGTACCAGATAGGTATAACAGATTTATAATGTAACAAAAATAGCTATAATTAATTGATTTATCATAATCTATCAGTCTTATGATTATGCAATAATTAATGCAAACCGGGGTATGCTGTACAAGATGAGTTTATTATAAAACTTCTGATTTGTCTGTGTGTGTTTGTTATTAAACTATTATTGGGTTGTTATATTTTGTATTATAATGCAATTTTCTTGATAAAAATTTTAATTTTTTTAATTTTTTTTGTGTGGGAAATCAAGAAAACATGTTTAAAAAAAAATTATGGTACTTCTTCTTCTAGTTTTTTTTTCTTTTTCTTCAGTTCGTCTTTTACCGCTTCAGGTGTTGAAGGAGATGTACAGTTCTGCTTGTGACTTTTCTGGCTGCCTCAATCACAGACACAACATGCTGTTGTGGTATAACTAATTATTTTCATTTTTCCCCAGCTGTGTGATTTTAAATAAGAGCAATGGCAGAGAGGAGGGATGGAACTGTTCCTGCCGCAAAGACAGTGATTTACCCGATTTGTCCACATGGGAATAAGAAAGACTGTGCAATGGAGGTAATTATTTTTTTAAACAAGGAACATTTAGAGCAGTGGTCTCCAGCCTGGTGGTGGGGGGGGGGGGGGGGGGGGGGGGTGGGTGAGGAAGTTTCAAGGTAAGAATAGGTGTTGGGGTGAGGAAGTTTCAAGGTAGGAAATGGGAAGGGGGGGGGGGGGAGAGAAAGTTTGAAGGTAGGGATGGGGTTGAGGTAGTTTCAAGGTAAGGATGGGGGTGTCAAGCAGTTTTTGAAAATGAGTTCATTAGTACCTGTAATAATCTTTAATACCAACATTTTTAAGAACTTAATTATTTTTGAAAACTATTTATAAATCGTAAATCCAAGAACATTTTTCATGAGTAAATTGTACACCTACCATTAACATTCTAATTCAGCAGATAACTTCTGCAATTAATTATTATTAGCTTGGAGGTCTTGCTATTTACAAAAAAAAAAAAAAAAAAAACACAGGTTGGAGTCCACTGATTTAGAGGGATTATGATTTATTTTATGTGTACCAGTTCCATTGTAGGATACTGTCTCCCTGGCAAGTAAAAGGTTGCTAAAAGGGAAGCACATAAAGCCATGTAGACGTGCAAAGCAAAGGAAAGCTACCATATTATTCATCCCAAAATAATATTCATCATGCATCTTTCCTATGGCAGTAAAGGCGATGAACCATTAAACATTTCAGAATCACTCAGAAAGAAAATTGGGGCTTCTAAACGAACATTTCAGAATAACAGCTAGGCTACCATGGATCAAGGAGAAAATAAAACTGATGTTTTGTAAAATCTAAACATACAAAATAAAAATTAAAACAAACTGGTTCAATACTAGCATTATTTTTAGATAAAACAATTTTTTTTTTCTGTTGCTCCACAAAGAACATGAAAGAAAGTGACAATCTGTGAAATATGTTTGAAAATGTGCAAACAAAAACCACAACAGATAGTGTTGCAAATTGAGAGATTAACAGACATTTGGAAATAAAACACTTCAGTGAAGTCATTAGGAAATAAATACTGAAATTATTTAGTCACCTCAAGATAATGGACCCAATTATATTGTCCTTGAGAGTGTACAACATAATGGGAAACCAAGAAGCAGAAAGAAATCTAGAAGATTGATCAAAGGAATAACTGTCAATTTCAGACTTCACAACATCTGAGGATACTGAACAGCAAAGCAAGCTATTGCATGGCTACCTATTGTCTGCTAAACTAAGACACCCAACAATAAGAAAGCAGCTATTGTTAAAAGAACAAAACACTCTTACATGTTTAGAAGGAATAATAAGGCAGACTTAGTTCCTGAAAAAAAAAAAGCAATGGACATAATGATTACTTGGGTGAGCCGTAAATAAACAAGACCACAAATATAGCCAGAGACTATTGGCAGCTTCGGCTAGCTAGCAGTAGGCTGAAGGTGGTTGAGTTTGATTTTTTTTTCTTAAAAGGAATTGGAATCGAGACTATTTTCATAAATTGAATAAGTCATTGACATCCAAGCAAGGAATGTTTACATGTTGACAGCAATGAGAACATACAGAAACAAAAAAATTCATCTGTAGGCACATAAAAATATGTGTCTCTATAGATAAAGATATGATAAGATAGAGACAGTGAGATGAGAAAAAAAGGAACTGAGGAAGGAGAATAATAAAGAAAGAATTAAATTGTGTGAAACAACCTAAACTAGCCAAGACTGCTGAACTATCCCCTTATAGTAGGCATATTAAGAAGGTGTCACATATACAAGCCTTCTGATCCACAGGCAAGCATCTGGTCACTGCACATGGCATTTGCATCAAGTGTACGTGTACATGCATATGTATGTGTGTAAGCAAATAATTATGCATGGACTCCTGCTTGGGTGTGCGTGTGTGTACATATCCATGTGTGTATGCAAACGCATATGTGTGCATTCAAACATGGGTCTGTAGAAATGTATGTGTGTTTATCTGTGTGTGTATATATATATATATATATATATATATATATATATATATATATATATATATATATATATATATATATATATATATATATATATGTGTGTGTGTGTGTAGGGTTGTGTTTAGTGCATGCAGGCTCCCTCTCCAACAGCACTGTATGTAAGTATGTATGTATGTATGTATGTGTGTGCATGTTCGTGTGTATGTGGATGTATGTGTGTACTGGGTGCCTATGTGTTTGTGTGTGAGTGATTGGGCTTGTGTGTGTATGTGGGTGTGTGTGTTTGCGCGTGAGTGTGCGCACATATTTTACCACCCATGCTTTTGTTTTTGACTTCATATTCATAATATGCATATCATTGCATGAATATAACATGCTTCATTGACGAAATACAACTGCTGTGTGAAGATGGAAGTTTGGAAGGGCCGAATGTAAGACAGGCCTGCGTGCCTAATTTGTAACCCTTTGAAAATAAAGTTCGTTCGTTCGTTCGTTCACTAGGTGCTAGAGTACCGCTCCAAGCCACTAGTTTTGGTGCTATTGACATTTCTTAGCCAACATAATTGGCACAAAGAAACCAGACTACAGTTATAACTGATACCGCTTGCAGTAGGTTGAACATGGTAGATGTTTGTTTTGTTTTACATAAATGGATGGATGAATTAAGAGCTGACTAGTCTACATGCAGTTGCCCTGGACAGGTTCTCCAGGGACAAACACCTGTTGATAAAGAGTACCAAAAATCACCACACACAAAAAAAGGATACATCATGTCACATGAAACTAACCGGGAAGGCTAACCTAGTGAACAAAAGCCAGATGAAGTTGGATGTTTCGGCCAAAAGGTGCAAATATCTCAACTATGCTGTTAACAGGCCTGAAGCAAATTGTCACTCGGATGAACGATGAAAAAGAAGAATTCAGTTATGCTACAATTAAATCATTACACACATAAAACATGATGATGACATTCACTGTCACATATATTTGTCGAATGTAAAAGTCTCAATGAAAGTGTAAAACCACACGTTTTCCTTTATTCTAGACTTGCTCATGGTTATAGGAATTAAAAAAAAAAAATGTTGTGTAACACTATTAGTTCTCATATTTTATACTATTTACTTCTGAATTAGGGCCTCCGGAAACAAATGGTGACCCAAGTTAAAATAAGGAAACTGAAGAAACAGGAAACAGATAAGCCCGTGGTGGGTCATGTCTATTGTATATTTTACATTGTTTTTTTCTTGTAATTGTATAGTTATTTTTTGTTTTTGCCCTGCTACATTTTGTTATTTTACATTAAAAACAATTTTAGTTAGATAACAGTTTAAAAAAAAAAAGTAATTTCATTCAGAAGACAGAAACACACACACCCAGTATTTTACAGGTTTGTAAGGCAAAGAACAGTGTTATAGTATCCTAATGTGCAAATCATATCATATCACCCCCGTGTGGGTTCCGGGGCCCCATTGTCCGGAAAACAAGAATAGACTCACTGCCTCCCCAAAAGCATGTCGTAAGAGTCGACTAATTGGGGAGCTTCCTTTGAAGTCAGAGTGCATCTGCCAGAGAGGCAAGGAACCAACAGTCTGTATTCAAGAGAATGAGATCTGTAAAACTGATGCACATGCAACACTCAGATTCTGGAGCAGGACTGCAGTTCACTGCAGTGGATGAGCAACCAGAACTTTCCGCCAGAGTGTACAGCTGGTGAAGAAGAAGAAGAAGATATCATATCATAAACATTTTATTCTGTTATTTTGACTTTATATTTCTACCCAGTTTGTAAATGCCTTCTGTTTTATTTCATAATACAACCCTTCATGTCTATATTTTTCCTATTATTTATTTCTAGGTTTTATTTTGTCCTTTGTTGTTTACAAGCTCTGTTGCCCTGTCAGTTGAGTTTTCCAGTCAGTTGTATTGATGCTGTTTTTTCAATTCCCGTAGCTGAACTTTCTGGTCACAGTTTCTATTGTATTTAGTACTTCATGAAACTAGTAACTTTATTCTTAGGGAATATATAGTAGTAATAGAGGTTTCATCTCAGCTGCATTTGGGTCATCCCATACTTGTTCCGTACCTGTACCAGTGGAAATCAAATGATGTGTCCCTCACTGATCATTTGAAAAACTGGTGAACAAACGATTAGTCCCGGCACAATCCAGAAATATGCACATTCAGTAAATGCATAAGGTAGTTGCTAGAGGTGCCAGAGCCTAGTCATCACCATAAATGAATTTTGTCATTGATAGTAGTTAGTCATGATAAGCTGGCTATACCCAGGCAAAACTGGCACGTAAAGTATTTCACCAGCCCATATGTAAACCAGCTACCCATCATACTAAATATGACATACTCGTTGCACAAATGAAAGGCATTCTACATTAAAAAAGCCTCAAAGGTTTCCCCTCAGTTTATTTATGCAAATTATGTGATATAGCGGGCTAATATTGCAGAAGAATAGAATAGAAGAAATTTTAAAAAATCCAATGTATAGCGTAATGAGACACTTATTTCAGTTGACTGATAACAGTGAAGTCAATTATCCTTTTTCACGCCTTATTGGACAATTAGGGCTAGACATATTTTATAGACCAATCAGAACTCTGTAGGTGATGTGGTCAAAATCATGCTGGTCACCTTTACTTCCCAGGACTTTACCTGATGCCCACTGAAGGCTGGGTCGACCTGGCTTCATTAGGATCTAAACCCATGACCTTTAGATCCATTGATGATGTCTAGCCACTACACCACAGTGACTCCCAAGCTGGTTGGTATTGGTAGAATATAGGGATGAAATGCAGAAGATATTTAGTCCACTTTAACACTCACACATCGGTCGATGATATATTTACACTGCACTTTTATTTCTATTGCTCTAACATTTCTATCACTCTCCTTCTCTTAGGAGCAGCGTTAGCACAGTTGATAAGATGCTCGCTTTCGAATCCAGCTGCGACTCCCTGGAGCCATGGTTGGTGTTCGAAACTGGGCGGTTCTCAGGGTTCACCCAGCCACTAGGAAATGGGTACCAGAATTGACACTCTTGAGGTGAATGGAGGAACGTCGCTGTAGCTACGGAGTTACATGTAGACAGCAACACAGGAGGATAGTTTCTTATCAGCTGTCCGTACTGGTGGCAGAGCACTTATGGTTTATAGCTGTGTGCTGTGACGCTGGTTCACATCTCCTGACTTTACCTTTACCTTTTTTTCCCGATCACCGTTCTCAAAATATATTGATTTTATATTTCTTTTTGCACTTTTACTTCTTTTACTTTGATCACTTTTGTTTTTCTATTGCTCTTATATTTCTACTGCTGATATTTCTACTGCTTTTGTATTTTGAACATGCTATTTCTACCCCTCATATTGCTAGTGCTCTTATATTTCCAACACTCTATTTCTACAGCTCTTATATTTCTAACATATTTCAACAGCTCTTATATTCCTACCCCTCTTTTATTTCTCCCTCTCTTTTACATCTATCACTCTATTTCTATCACCCCTACTCTTCATCTTCATCACATATATGGATAAAATTGCACATGAGTCAAACCAAAACACAGATATTATAAATGAACTTCTCTTTGCAGATGACCAATGTTTGTTACAAGAAGAGGAACAAAAACTACAACAATATGTTGATTCATTGCTCACTAACTGTGCAAAATTTGACATGAAAATAAACACCTCAAAAACGGAAGTAATGACCATAGGAAAGAAACACAGTAATGTAAACATAAAGATCAATGACATACAATTAGAACAAGTTCAAGAATTCAAGTACTTAGGATGCATATTTACAGAAGATGGAAGACTCGATAAAGAGATACAGGCTAGAGTTCAAAAAGCCAATGCAGTACCAACTGGCCCCACTTCTTCGTCATCCAAAGATCTCGTTACCAGCCAAACAACGGATGATCAACAGCATTTTCATCCCTACGTTATGTTATCAGTGCCAAACGTGGACAATGAACAAATCACATGTGCAAAAAATAACTACTTGTGAAATGCGATGTCTCCGAAGAGTCACCAACAATACACGAAGAGACAGAGTTACAAACGTCAGCATTAGAGACAAAGTTGGAACAAGAGCATGCATGGAACATATTGAAAGACAGAGAATGAAGTGGTTTGGTCATTTAGTAAGAATGCAACCGGATCAGATTGCCTATAAGGTCTTTTACAATAGAACATCGGGAAGAAAGGCCAGATGAAGACCCAGGAAAAAATAGATAGATGGAGTAGCTGAATACGGCCAGAAGATCCAGAAAACTGTCACTCAAATCACGCGAGAGGCACAAAACAAATATTTTAAACCACGACACTGGGCTGCAACCCAGTAAAAGTGAAGAAGACAATAGATAGATAGACTCTATTTCTACTTTGGGAAGTTAAGGTGGCTGGCGTGATGCTGCCCATATTGACCAATTGCTTATAAAATATAGGTCTACTCCTATATGATCCAATACGCCTGAAGATGTAGAAGAGGGTCGGTTTTGTTGTTGTTGTTGTAAATTACAATCTTATATTTCTAACATTATTTATAATTACAGATGCTGCCCATGTCATTATCTGAAATCGTAACTGGCATGTATAGTCAAGACACTTCTCATACCTTGAAAGTCATTGAGTTTTTGAGGAGGATCTTGTGTAGAGAGAAGGAACTCCCAGTAGAGATGATCTTAAATGAAGAATTATTCAAACGAATGGCTTCCTTCCTAAGCGGTGTAAAGTGAGTTACTGATTTTGGTCTTCTTCTTCTTTGTGGTCTTAATCTTTGTCATTATCATCGTCATCTTCATCCTCGTATTCTTCCTCCTCCTCTTCTTCTCTGGATTTTGAGCACTTGAGGTTCATTGCTTCACACCCGCCGTGTGGGTTCCGGGGCCCTATTGTAGGAAAACAAGAATAGACCCACTGCCTCCCCAAAAGCATGTCGTAAGAGTCGACTAACTGGGGAGCTTCCTTTGAAGTCGGAGTGCATCTGCCTGAGAGGCAAGGAACCAGCAGTCTGCATTCAATTGAATCAGATCTGTAAAACTGATGCACACGCAACACTCAGGTTCTGGAGCAGGACTGTAGTCCAGAAGTGGACGAACAACCAGAACTTTACGCCAGAGTGTACAGCTGGTGAACGCGAAGAAGAAGAAGAAGATTGCTTCACATATCACCTGCCTCCATTCATCTATGGGATTGGCCTTTTCTTTCCAGTTGCTGATACAGTCAGACCTACAAACACCGGGAGTCATGTACGATCTCTCCTCTCCTTATGGGTTCTGGGCCCCATTTCAACAAGAAAGGCGGGGGGGGGGTTTATGGGGGGGGGGGGGAATAGATCCACTGCCACCCTCCCCAAATCACCCCAAAAAAGCATGATGTAAAAGACTACTATTTGGAGGTTTTTCCTTTGAAGTCAGAGTACATCTGTCAGAGAGGCGAGTTACCAATAGTCTGCATACAAATAAGCCAAATCTGTAAATCAAATGTGCATGCAAAACTCAAGTTCTGAAATAAGTCCAATAGTGGACGAACAACCAGAACCTTTGGCTGGAGTGTGCAGCAGGTAAATGCAAAGATTATCATCTTTCCATCTTCGTGGTCTGCCTCATGGTCTAATGATATTCAACTCTTTTATGTACACATTTTCTTTCTCTCACTCTGAAATCTGCCAATCCATTGTCTGAGAAATAATGATAATACCTGGCAGAAAAATATACATGTATACATTTTGTGTGTGTAAACTTTGCCACTGCTGCTGCTATTTCCCCCCTCTTGGCTGCCATTCAAATGTTTGATGCGCTGCGATTACGAAATCACAGCTGAGTAGAGTTGGGCTGAGTTGAAAACTGGCATCACAGCATTCAGGACATTCCTTAAGGCTCATCCACCTCTTCAGCAGCCACCACAAATTTCCAGTCTGGATGGTTCCACCAGCGGTCTGACTGTATGGCTGTGTTGCCTGTCCCCTAAGTGTTAAGTTCTGAGCAGAGCCTCTGGTTACTGTCTGTTTCAAAGGCAGGCTATGGAGCAGATCCCCTTCAACTTCTAGATGAGTTATAATTAGTGTGCCAGTAATGGCTACAACTGCCAGTGTAACCTGCAGCCCTGTGTGGGTAATGGCTACAGCAGCCAGTGTAACCTGCAGCCCTGTGTGGGTAATGGCTACAACAACCTGTGTAACCTGCAGTTATGTGTGGGTAATGGCTACAGCAGCCAGTGTAACCTGCCTCCCTGTATGGGTAATGGCTACAGCAACCTGTGTAACCTGCAGGTATGTGTGGGGAATGTAATGGCTACAGCAGCCAATTTAACCTACAGTTCTGTGTGGGTACAGTGACCAGTGTAACCTGCAGCCCTGTGTGGATAATGGCTACAGCAGCCAGTGTAACCTACAGTTATGTGTGGGGAATGTAATGGCTACAGCAGCCAGTGTAACCTGCAGCCCTGTGTGGGTAATGGCTACAGCAGCCAGTGTAACCTGCAGTTATGTGTGGGGAATGTAATGGCTACAGCAGCCAATTTAACCTACAGTTCTGTGTGGGTACAGTGACCGGTGTAACCTGCAGCCCTGTGTGGATAATGGCTACAGCAGCCAGTGTAACCTGCAGTTATGTGTGGGGAATGTAATGGCTACAGCAGCCAGTGTAACCTGCAGTTTTGTGTAGGTAATGTAATGTCTCAATGTGGATTTGTAGAAGGAAAAGGTACAAACAATGCCATATACATCCTAAGGACATTGTCAGAAAGAGCTATAAAAGTAAAGACTGATTTGTACATATGCTTCATAGACTATACAAAAGCATTTGACTGTGTGAAGCATGAAGAAGTAATCAAACTGTTAGAAAAATTAAACATTGATGGGAAAGATCTATGAAAAATAAAGAATATGTATTGGCAACAAACAGCAGCTATAAGAATTAACAACTGTTTAGGTACATTTCAAAGCATAAAGAGGGGCGTACGACAAGAATGTGTACTGTCACCTGATTTGTTTTCAATTTACAGTAAATATATAATGAGAGCTTTAATTGGTATGCTAGGAATTGTGGTTGGTGGGCACAATATAAACAATTTACGTTTGTCTGATGACACAGTCTTGATAGCAAAAAGTCAGAAAGAACTACAGGAAATGATAGACATTGTGGTGTTAGAAAGTGGAAGAATGGGCCTCAGTTTGAATAATGGGAAGACTGAAGTAATGGTGGTATCAAAGAAATAAATCATTCCTAAGTGTGTAATAAAAGTTGATGGTGTCATTTTAGGACAAGTACGGAAATTTAAGTATCTGGGCGCATGGATAACATCAGATGAAAGATGCATAACTGAGATAAGAAACAGAATAGGACAGGCAAACACTGCATTTTATAAAATGAAAAACATCTTTTGCAATATATCCTTGTCATTAAGAGTTAGAAAAAGAATTCTTGCTTGCTACATACATCCAGTTTTAACATATGGCTGTGAATCCTTGACAATCGGTAGGCAGGCCAAACAATTTCTTGAGGCCTCAGAGATGTGGTTTTACAGAAGAATGCTTAGAATACCTTGGACAGCCAAAAAGAGCAAACAAGAGGTTTTGAAAGAGGCGGGAGCCCGAAGACAACTTATCACAGACATCAGAGGGAGACAGTCATCATTTTTCTGTCATGTTATGAGAAGAGGGAAAATAGAACATGTTGTGACCACTGGAAAGATATGTGGAAGGAGAGATAGAGGAAGACAACGAGAGAAGATGCTTGACAGTCTTGTTGCATGGCATGGAGGTGTGTCGGCACACAAACTGATACAGGCTGCAGGAGATCGCAGATTATGTAGAGGCATGATCGCCCACGCCAGTCGGCAAGGTACCTGATGATGATGATGAATGTAATGGCTACAGCAGCCAGTGTAATCTACAGTTCTGTGTGGGTAATGGCTACAGCAGCCAGTGTAACCTGCAGTCCTGAATGGGTAGGACATGATATAAACTATGGAAAGATCTCCACAGGGAGCAGAGATGTCATATCTAAGACATCATCATCACCATCATTCCATAACATTGCATGTCATTGGGTCACCAGTTGCTGTTGAATGTCTGATCAGCTACTTTAATTGTCCGACGAGATGGACTTCATGGTTGCATGCTTAAGGCCTGTCCAGTCAGTCAAGTTCTGTATTGTCTGCCTCATCTCCTGTCCCCTTTACTGAGACCTGGAGTACTGTTTGTTGTTGTTGTGAGGCTGTTAGATCTCACTACCTGTCCGTAATCTGATTACATGTCTGTAACATTGTATTTTCCATCTTTTCACTCTAGTTAAAAGTGTTACTTAGTTGCCAATATGCTGAATAATTATACCATGAACATCATCATTTGTGATGTGGTCTCGGTATGATATGCCAAGAATATGTCTGCAAGACACACACTGCAAATACCTTATACCAGAATTTCAAACTGTCTTTTGACACACTAATGTGTTGGCTGAATTGTAAAAATGTAAAAATATTTCTGGATTTATTTCAAGGGGTTAAACATTTTTAAATTACTAGTAGACTGAATTACTTCAAAATTGTTTGCTATAAAGTGTGTCACAACATGAACAGTTTTATGAAAGCTCTGCCTGCAACAGCCAAGGTAAATAATAATGATTACCAGAAAAGAGCTAATGATATAAGATAAAATAAAGAAATAAGAAAGAGACAAGGGTTACTTAGTTATACAGACTAATCTCTGAGCATGTCCCACTCAGATCAAGACAGCCATTACAGCCCAGTGGAACACTTCCCATCCAGGTCACAATTCTGAAGACTTCGTCAACATCTCACACAAAAGAAACAGAGCATTATATTTAGACTGTGTACTGAACACAAGTACTGACATCTTGAAAGATGTGAACATCGAGGAAGATTGGCTAATAAACAGCATCCTGTCTTGGAAGCTGAAATATTTTGGTCCAATCAAGCGGCACAACAGATTGGAAAAAATTATAGCAGAAGACGTGGTACCAGGAAGGAGGGTCAGGGGCTGACCGACACAAAGATGGACACAGGATATAAGTGACTCCTTGAGTATGAAAGTAGATGAGGCGGGAGAGCTGGCAAGAGATCGAGATTCTTTTAGGCACACCGTGATGGGAGCGACGTTCTGCAAAGGACCTGCTACACGATGATGATGACTGGACACAACAGACTTTGCAGCCATATGTACCAGAAATTCAAGACTGGGGATTTAGAACTTTTCCTATGCAGGACAGGCACCACAGAATACTGAACATGTGCTACAAGTTTTGCCAGTTGGCATTCCAGTGGAAACCAAGCTGTATTTAACTGTGAAAGACATATGTCGCACCACAGTCTACATAGAGGCTTATAGCCTTTTCATCTGAAGACCACTGACATGAAGTACAACAACAATCTACTGCAGGATTGCTCTTAACTTCTCAAGGCAAAGGTTGGGGATCTGGCCCAGTGGAGCCACAGTACAAGAAGCTATGGAGGACCACTGGTGACCTTTGATGGCCCTCGTGAGTTAACTTCTTTCAAGACATCTTAATGACCCTTGTTATATGATGTTCTCATCATTTGTCTATTAAACCACATCTCAGCCACTTACACATTATTGTTCATTAATTGGTTAACTGTCCATGATTCACTTCCATATTTCAGGATTGAAACTGTTACGCTTAACCGCTTCCTGTTTACCAAAATGTATGCTGATTTCATCCAGATTTAGCCTTCTGTATGAGACTGCCTGGGCCTTCACAAACATCGCTGCAGGAACCCTTTCTCATGCCCGCATGGTTGTTGACAGTGGTGCTGTACCATATTTCATTCGTTTGTTGTCATCTGATTCTCTCTGTCTTATTGAACAGAGTGTTTGGGCATTAGGAAATATTGCTGGTATGCTCTTCTCTGTGTCAGAAAATAACTTTTGTTTTGTTTGTGTTGTCGGTGTCTGTGGCATAGGCATTGTCAACATGCTTCATGGTGCCAGGTAGATGCCAGCTGCAGACAATTTGGCAACAGTCTGTCAGACAGTGGTATCAAGAGTCGACAGTTCAGAAAGTATTGGCAAACTACTGAACATTAATTTACCTAGAGAAATCACAAACGCCAAAAAAAAAAAAAAAAAAAAGGGGTTGGTTCTACAACGTACTGAAAAAGATCCACAGCTAACTAACTGGCAGCAAACCATCAGTGGTATCAAGAGTTGACCATTCAGGAAGCAATTGCAAACTACTAAAATTAGATTTGTGTAGAAAAACCACAACAGCCAAACAATGCTAGGGTTGGTTCTTTAATGTCCTGTAAAGGATGCACAACTAACTTTTGTTTATTTTCTGAGTGTAAAATGATGCATTTACTGTTGTTTGAATATTTGACAGTCCTCACTTAAACATAATTTGATTTCCAGGTCAGACAGATTATTTATTATGATTCTCATGGCTTTTGGTCGGTCAGTGGTGCAAAAGTCAACCCAGGGGAGATAATGGGGACCTCAGCACGTAATAGTCTGAAAGACAGAAGTGGGTACACTATAGCTCACTTCCAGTGTGGAGTTGACCTACCATTTTTGTCTCACTAGCATATAATCAAACCAAGATGCAATTAACCTACAACAACAGAAAACATTCTGGGAGTAGATGGTTCTAGAGAACTACAACAATACACCTACAACAATAGAAAACATGCTGGGAGTAGATGCTTCTAGAGAAACACAACAATAAATCTACAACAATAGAAAACATGCTGGGAGTAGATGCTCCAAGAGAACTACAACAATACACCTACAACAATAGAAAACATGCTGGGAGTAGATGCTCCAAGAGAACTACAACAATATACCTACAACAATAGAAAACATGCTGGGAGTTGATGCTCCAAGAGAACTACAACAATATACCTACAACAATAGAAAACATGCTGGGAGTAGATGCTTCTAGAGAACTGGAGAAGGATTACACAGTACATGACAAAAACAAGTGTTCACATATGAGATGTTAATATACCTTAATACAAACCAAGGCCAACAACATTTCTGTCTGTGCTTCAAAATGTCCGTGTACAGTGTTATAGTGTTTAGTGCTAGCCCTGGCCTTTTTAAACAAACTGGTCCATGATGGTTGGTGTGGTTAACATCATTTCAGCCACTTTTACTTCCCATGAAATTTCTTGGTTCTCTAAATTAGGCAGGTTTGATTAAAAAAAACTCAGGCCAATACAAAAAATAATTTGTCTTTCAGGAGGTTCAGACACATGATTACAAGACCACGTCTGCTCTGTCTGTTTGTTCCTGGATGGGGAACTTTCTCAACTTCTAGGAAAAGTCTTCTGCAGTCTTCCCTATCTGACAGTGCTTAGGCATTGTGGAAGTGCTTTGTAATTCCATAGTGCTGGGGTTGATCCCATCTGTGGAAAATTTGGCAGCAAAACACCTTGCCTTGGTTGCAACAGTGATATCAAGAGCTGATCATTCAATAACAAATGGCAAACTACTGAAAATAAATTTGCCTAATGAAATCAGACCCCAAAAAAATTGCTGGGGTTGGTTCTGCAATGACCTTTAAAGGTCATGCAACACACTTTTCTAGGAAAAGAAGCCTAAGCCCTTTATCTGTGTACCCTTGTGCATGTCATAGCTGCACCATTTATGCCGTTATAACTGTACATACAATGGACAGGTGGGGAAGAAGGTAGGGAACGGGTGAGATTCATAAAACTTCTTGATTTTCAATCAAGTGTTTAAAGTTATATTATGGATGTTTCAAAATACTTGCAGGTGGCGGAGCAGACCTGAGAGATCTCTTATTAAACCATCATATTCTCAAGCCTCTACTGCGTCTTGTTGACATGACTGCCCCCGTAAGTATTGTCTGTGAATCAGGTATCAATAAACTCCACAATAAAATTCAGCTGCAATAGATCTCCAACACTTTGGCTCTTGCCCTGGTCATAAGACTGAGACTTTCCATCACTTTCTATTATCCTTCCATCTACCTTTTGACTTCAATTTTTCGTAAATAATTGGACTAGAAATATTTTACTTCTCTTTATTACTTTTGGCAACTTTTATGCCCAATCTCTCAAGAACCTGTATATTTGTTGTTTGTTTCTGTTTTCACAAAAAACAACCTACTTTTAAATATAACCACATCCCAAAGCTTTAATTCCACTTTCAATTTACTTATTCATTGCCCAATTTCCTGCACTATTTAGAAGAGTTATTGGAAAAACTTCACCACTTTTGCAAAACAAACATATACCAGGTGACACCAAAGAAGCATTATTCAATACAGTATTCCAACAACACTGTTATCAGTGCCAAAAGTGAATGTTAATGAAAGACCAGAAAAATCGAAACAAGCAAATGAAATGTCTTCTGTGAATACAAAATGTAACTAGAAGAGACAGGATCAGAAATGACAACATCAGAGACAGAGTTGGGACAGAACCAGTACTAATATACTACATCAAGAGACAACAGATAAAATGATTTGGACATGTGTCAAGACTGCCACAAGATAGTGCACCACAGAGATCCCAATCACTTAATGAAAGCAGAGCCAGAGGTCGACCATGCAATAGATATTTGGAATATCCGAGGCCGAAACATCTATATATAGCTCCAATGCCTCTTCAAAACCTGATGCTGAAAGGCAATACAGGAGTAGAGAAAAGACAGTAGGATTGAACATGTGCAGGCCTATATTTAGGCATGAGCAGATATCACAGCCTGGCTTTAAACCACAGCATATGTCAACCACCCTTTTAAGGGTGATCCAAGAAGAAAAACTCTAGTATGCCAGTGTGGGTAGATCCAAGTGGGGCAGGTGAAATGCAACTATAAAATTGTTTCTTCCCATTCAGCATGGAGTCTCCCTGCTGCATTTGTTTGTAGTCGATGTCTAGTGCAATGAAAAAGTCAAGCTGAATCTCTAGAGACGCTGAATCTCTAGAGACGCTGAATCTCTAGAGACGTGAAATTACAAAATAATAGATTATTTTTCATGGAGAAGACAATTAGAAGATTCTTGACAGTCTTGTTGCATGGCAACGAGGTGTGTTGGCACACACACTGATACATGCTGCAGGAGATCACTAATTGTGGAGTGGCATGATCGCCAACGCCAGTCGGCAAGGCACCTGATGATGATTTCATGGAGGAGGAAAAAAATAAATGAAGACGCTCTAAAGAGATTAGAAAAAGTTGCCGATTAAAAACATAAAACCCTTGGGGAAAACCATGCTAGAAAGAAAAGTATAGAGTGAGGACATCAGGAGCTGGGTGTCTTAGAAAGTTTTCAGCCAGTTTTAATTGTGGAGATAGTACGTGATTCACTTATTGATTGATTGACTGATGCTCCATTAAGAATTAAAAAGGAGAAAAAATAATAGATTCTCGCCTGTGGATCCAAATGTCATGGGTTCAGGTCTCGATGGAGCCAGCATTTTTCAAAAATGTATTTGGCTCCCAGGTCAACCCAGCCTTAAATGGGTACCACGTAAGTCCTGGGAAGTAAAGGCGGCTACTGTGATGTTGACAGCATCACCCATCGAGTTTTGATTAGTCTGTAAAACAATGAAATAGCGGACAGATTGGCCAGAAGCGGCAGTGACATGGTACAACCAAAAAGCGACTTAACCCACCAAGAGATGAAAACACTAATACAATCTAGTATCCAAGAAAGGTGGCTGTATACCCACACCAGATTTTCTCCCCAAGACTCACTTCATCGCCTCTCTAGAGAGGGACAGTCTATTATATTCAGACTAAGGACAGGGCACAACAGATTTTGTCAACATATGTTAAAATTTTTCTGTGTAGGAAATACGGAGACGTGTCCCTGCAGCGTGGCACCCGAAAATGCTGAGCATGTGCTCCAACACTGTCAACTGAATGCTGACAACAGAGACGCAATTTGGCCTGTTCCAACCACAATGAAGACAAAACTGTATGGTACACAAGAGGATATGGATTGCATGATAGCTTTCATAAAGGCTACCGGCCTCCTGATATAAGTTTTCTGACAGAAGGATCGAAGAAGAAGTAGAAGAAGAGTCTGTAAAATATATGTCTAGCCCTTCTTCTTCTTTCTTCTTCTTCTTCTTTCTTCTTCTTCTTTCTTCTTTTTCTTCTTCTTCTTCTTCTTCTTCTTCTACTTCTTCTTCTTTCTTCTTATTTCTTCTTCCTTCTTCTTTTTCTCCTCCTCCTCCTTCCACCTTGTACCTCATCGAAGTGTTGGGGGGAGATGTAATATTTGTTGATGAACTCTGTTTGTTTGTTTGTTTGTTTTAGTATCCAGAAGCCATGAGTTGTTAACCCTTAGCTCGGTATTATGGATATCACAATCTTTCGGCCTTGATTCCATTGTAAATACCGTAAATCTGGGAAAAAAATGTGGCTTTCCTGCCTACCCCTGGGATTGAACCCAGACCACAAGGAGTTCATCACCTGGTCTCCGCGCAATCCGGTTTAGCCAACTACGCTAGAGAGCTGGGCAAATGAACTCTGTCAAGAGCACTATTAAGACTGATGTTCATTTCTGTAAGGCTGTTCCTAATGCCATCACTCCATCTTTTCCAAGGTCTTTCACCTCAGAAAATATGGAGTGATGGCATTAAAAACAGCCTTACAGAAATGAACATCAGTCTTAATAGTCTAACATGTCTAGCCCTATATGCCCAATACACCTAAAGACATGGAAAAGGATCCTTTCATCAGTAAAAGGTGATTACATGAACATTTCTGGTAATTAAATTCATTTTTAACAGCCTAACTTTCTGTGCACTGTGGCATGGGCCATCTCAAACTTGTGCCGTAATAAAGTTCCTTCGGTGATGATGATAGTTATCAAAGCCTGCTTGCCAGCACTGAGGACTTTGATTCACCACAAAGATGATGCTGTTGTATCTCATGCTTGTTGGGGTCTGTCATGTGTCACAGAAGGGGCCTTGAACTACACAGAAGAATTGGTCAAATACCCGGGTGAGTCCAGAAACAGTTCTTCATGTCTTCTATTTTGTTTGCTCCTATAGCTCATTAAATAATAAAGTAAAAAGCAATAATTATTTAAGGTTCAAGAACTTATCTTCTTCAATTAATTTTTTTTTTGAAAACTAATTCGGGTGTAAACAAACATATATAAGGCTTTGCTTCTTGCTCTTCTGGCTGTCTGAAGTAACACGTTATATCATTGTAGAGTTTCTCTATCTTTCTCTTGTTTTTGGTTTGCCTCATACTCTGTGTCCTTCTCTTCTGCTGGAGTATGCCTTGTGTGGTATGGCATCAAAAAAGCTTTCTCAGTGGATGAACCATTGTATTATTTAGGGTCTGAGTTGACATTCTCTATGACTTCATTCCTGAAGTTATTAATTCTAGATTTTCTGCTATCTTTGTTTTAGATTCCCTAACCCCCTTGTGAGTTTTTGGGATAGAAAATTATGTATAAACTGTATCTGGTTTTGGTTGGGTTTTTTATGTGTAGGTCAACTCAATTGATGTTGGTTGGACCATGGTTGAGATTATAGGTGTGTCGCAGTCTGTTGTTGTCCGTATTTACGTTTTTATTTCCTAGAAAGAGACGACCTGTGACATAGGTTTTGTCACTCTCTAGGGGGGTTGTGTGTTAGACCCAGTATCTAAATGTTTTAGAAGTGTTAAAAGCTCTGTCATGGTGAAATATACAACACACGATATGAGCACAAGTGCAGAATTTCCATCTGACCTTGTGTGAAAGTCAGATCACTCAAGGCCGACCTATCAGAAGTGAGGTGGTCAGTAGGTAGTCCAATCAGAAGCGAGCTAGTGGGTAGATGTGTGCAAATGGGGAGACCAGCATAAAATTTACCTTGCTTTACAATGTTTCCTATTCATCACCATCTTCTCCTCTGCTTTATTTGCTGGACTTTGTTTTTCTTTGTATGCTCTGCATTAGTAATTCTACCCTACCATATTATACCTTCTTTTCTGACATCACCGATGTTTATAGTTTATTAGTAGTTGTAATTGCATCATATTCTACGGGTGATACCCGACCGTCATCCAGCTACTGTAGAAAAAGTAAATGGCAGAAACATCCTAAACATTGGTACGTGGAATGTCAGAACACTCGTACAAAATAGAAAGTTGTAAAACATCACGATGGAAATGCAGAGAATAAACATCAACATATTAGGAATTAGTGAAAGCGTTGGACAAGATTAGGGAAAAGTGTTCAGATCAGCACATAATTATTTACTCAGGTGGGAAGGAATATAGTAAGAGAGTTGGTTTTATTTTGGATACAAAGTACTCAAAAACTGTGAAAGGATTTTGGACAATCTCAGAGTACTATTAGTAAAACTTCATTTGACATCAACTTAGTACAGATTTATACCCCAACAGCAGATAGTTCAGAAGAAGATATTTATGCATTTTATGATGTGTTAGACATGGCTGTTGGTGAATGCAAACATTATGAAGTAACAATGGTACTTGGAGATTTCAACATGAAAATAGGAAGGGAAAAAGTGTACGGAATAAAGGGTGGCTATGGTCTACCACGGTCACATGGCTAAAAGGTTTAAAATCAGAAGTGAGCTAGTGTGTATATGGTCAGGTTCTGGGGAGCAAAACATTACTTTTGGCAAAATATCTATCTTTAGCAGGTTTTTAAAATTGTCATAGGCTTATTACCTGATGTTTAGCTCTTTCAGTCTCAGGGGGCTTAGCATCAGAGGCCCAAGGGGTAGTACTGAGAAATGTAAAATCAGCACATCTTGGGTTAACTGGGCTTCTGAGTAGGAAACCTATAAACGTATGATGTCTCTCTCGGGACTGAGAGTTAAATAATAAAGATTTAATGTCAGATAACCGAGGCTCTTTACTTGGTAGGGAGCTTTCAGTGAACAAAGGGTGTTGAACTAAATGATGTCTGTTTATCAATTGCAGATTTAATGGAAAGACTTGTGGAATTACTAGACAGTAGAAATGTTGGTGTCCTCACACCAACTCTTCAAACAATTGGTAACATTATGTCAGAAAATAAGTCTTGGATACAGGTTTGGTGTTTCTGTATATGTTTTCAAACTTGACAACTCATATAAAACACCATAATTTGTGTGTTTTAAATTTGTATGTTTCTTAGCTAAATTAACTGGCACACAAAAAAACCATACCACAGTTATAACCGATACAGCTTGCAGTAGGTTGAACATGGTCGACTTTTTATTTTTATTTTTCATAAATGGATGGATGAATATATCCCAATTATAACCCAAAAGGGTTGGGCAGAATTATGTTGATTAAATAATACTAGCACCTGAGGTGTAAACTCCCAATCTCTCTTGGGATTGAACTCCTTGGGACTGCAGAGACTTTTCTCAGCAGCCCTGCCAGACATTGGAAGGCATTTTAAGCAAGTACTCCTTGAAAACTGAGCACAGCTTGGTTATCAAGTGCCACATAATGTCTTCTTGTTAATCCAATGGGGTCATTTTTCAGCATTTTCAGCTCGAACAGCTTAAAATACAAGGAGCTATGCCAGGAATGAATGAAACCTAATGACGGGAAAAATGTTGTTTGGCCAAGATGATCTGAATCATATGTGAAGAATGGTGGAGGCAATGTCAGGATGGAGCTGTAGAGTTCCTGTCTTGCTCTCATTAATCTCAGTGGTGATGAATCTTTTCACAGTGACGACCTCTTTTCCAGTGTGTAACAGACAGTAGGATTGAAACCATCACACAGTTAATTAAAGAGCAATATACATGGTCTTGGTACCATTTGACACAGAGAGGCATGCTGAAGAAATACAGTGGTCTTGTCAATGGATGAAAATGCCCTGGTACCATTTGACACAGAGAGGCATGCTGAAGAAATACAGTGATCTTGTCTACTGATGAAAATGCCCTGGTACCATTTGACACAGAGAGGCATGCTGAAGAAATACAGTGGTCTTGTCAACTTACGAAAATGCCCTGGTACCATTTGACACAGAGAGGCATGCTGAAGAAATACAGTGGTCTTGTCAATGGATGAAAATGCCCTGGTACCATTTGACACAGAAAGGCATGCTGAAGAAAGACAATGAATATAGAGGAGAAAACCATGCATAATTTAGAATGATGACATCAAGTTCTCAAAGAAATGATAAACTTTTACAAAAGAAGCGTTCACAGAAGATCCTTACACCCCCCCCTTCACCCCAACACCGTGGTGAGGTAGTTTAAGGAAGTGATGAAGATGATGCTGCTATTTGTATAGTCCAGTGTGATATGCACCTCTTCAAGATAGAGCTGCAAACAAAGCAAAGGAACCCTCTCATGCTTGTGGCACCTCAGTCATGTGATTCATCTTGTCAATGCTTTTATACGAGAGGCCAGTCAATGGATGAAAATGCCCTGGTACCATAGGAGGCATGCTGAAGAAATTGAGGAATCATGAAGAAAGACAATGAATATAGAGGAGAAAACCATGCACAATTTAGAATGACTTTCAGTTACCTTTACTTCACATGGTGAGGTAGTTTAAGGAAGTGATTTCCCTAGTATTCATTTGTTAGCACTGAAGTTGCAAACAAAGCAAAGGAACCCTCTCATGCTTTGTGGCACCTCAGAGTTGATTCATCTTGGTCAGTTATCAAACATTGGTCAATATACTAGTTACCTGTGGAATTTCCCTAGTTGACTGACCTGGGAGTTGAGGTCAGTTATCAAACATTTCCTAATGTGGCTTTGGTTGACCTGGGAGTTGAGGTCAGTTATCAAACATTTCCTAATGTGGCTTTGGTTGAACTGGGAGTTGAGGTCAGTTATCAAACATTTCCTAATGTGGCTTTGGTTGACCTGGGAGTTGAGGTCAGTTATCAAACATTTCCTAATGTGGCTTTGGTTGAACTGGGAGTTAAGGTCGGTTATCAAACATTTCCTAATGTGGCTTTGGTTGACCTGGGAGTTGAGGTCAGTTATCAAACATTTCCTAATGTGGCTTTGGTTGACCTGGGAGTTGAGGTCAGTTATCAAACATTTCCTAATGTGGCTTTGGTTGACCTGGGAGTTGAGGTCAGTTATCAAACATTTCCTAATGTGGCTTTGGTTGAACTGGGAGTTGAGGTCAGTTATCAAACATTTCCTAATGTGGCTTTGGTTGACCTGGGAGTTGAGGTCAGTTATAAAACATTTCCCAATGTGGCTTTGGTTGACCTGGGAGTTGAGGTCAGTTATAAAACATTTCCTAATGTGGCTTTGGTTGAACTGGGCAACAAGGTCAATTATAAAACCATTTTCCCCAATGTGGCTTCAAACCTAGAATTTTTGGTCTTACAGGCACGCTTCTAGCTATAGCACTACCACTGCTTCCAGAGTCGCTTATGCTCCATGCTTCATTGCTAACAGTCTTAGCACAAATTTCACATACACACACACACCCACCCTCCCCCTTTACCCCACATTTTCTCAATCAAAATGTAACGCACAGAGCAGTGCCTTTTTCACTTCATCTGTAAGTTCTTGATAATTACATGGTGTTCTTCATGATAAAAGTCCACATTTGGTCAGTTTCCCTGTTATTTTGGCTTGAGTGCCTACTGGATTGTGATTCCCTTTTACTGACTGATAAGACTCGGATCATTAGCAAATAATGGGTTTTAACACCAGAGGTTCAGGTATGCAAAGTAATGAGCATGCCAATAGACTGGCTTCTACTGCTCCTCTGGGTTGTAAGCTAGTTTATTTTAACTCTTTCAGTACCAAACAACTCAGCATGTTTCTTACTCTCAGAAGAAAGAATTTAACTCTTGAAGTGAACTGATTACCCATGCCAGAAGAAGAGAATCTGCAATCTTTGATCACATCATGAGAACTGGAGCCAGAGTATACTGTGACAGCTGGAAAATTGAAGGGATAAAATGTAGAGGGAGCCCAAGAGAAAAGATACTGGATAGTTTGACATCATGGTATGGAAAGCTATCTGAGTCAGACATGATTGAAAGTACATAAAGACAAAATGTTAGAACTAAAGCCACACAGCATGGATTGGAAAAAATTCACATTGTTATTGGATATCATGTTGAAAAGCATATATTATCGTGGTTTGCCATATCACATGAGCATCTTAGATTAGGAATATCCTGTGTGTATTCTGTGGTCCCATTATGGGGGAAAACAGAATGGACCCACTGTTCCCTAACAAGCATGTCTAGAAGAAAATCAGTTGGGAGGTTGGGGGGTGTTTCCTTCAAAGTCGAGTGCATCTGTCCTGAGACACAAGGACATCAACAGTCTGCATACAAGTAAACCAGATCAGTAAAACAGATGTGCATGTAACACTGAAGTGCTAGAACAAGACCAAAGTCCAGAAGATGACAAACAACCAGAGCTTTTACCACAGTAATAGACAATGAATGCTAATAAGAATAATAATTAGGAATACATTCTCATAATTAACAAAATGCTTGTTTCCTCACTTGAATTTAGATCATGATGGACTGCAATCTAATGGACAAACTGCCGGCACTTCTGCAAAATTTCAGACTAAACATTAGGAAAGAGTCTTGCCGGATAGTGTCATGCATTACTATGGGTTTCTTTGAACAAATCAAGACGGTGATTGACTGCAACCTTATACCTCTGCTCCTTGGTGTTCTCAAAGTGGTAGTGTGTCACAAATATTTTATAATTGAATATTATTCATTAAAAATACATTCTGTGGTTTGTGAGGATGCAGAAGTAATCTGAGTGAGAAATTATTTTATCAGACTGCGTGAACAATTCTGTGAAAAACAGAAGATCAAATGGTTTGGTTTCCTGTATGGGTTCCAGGGTCCCATTGTGAGGAAAACAAGAATAGACCCATTGCCACCCTAAAAGCAGGTCATAAGTGTTAGACTAACTGGGGGCTTTCTTCGAAGTTGGAGCACATCTGTCTGAGAGGCAAGGAACCACCAGTCTGCACACAAATGAGGCAGATCTGCTGAACAGATGTGCATGTAACACTCAGATACTGGAACAGTACTGGAGTCCAGAATTGGACAAACAACCAGAGCTTTCTGCTCGAGTTTACAGCTGGTGAATATGAATAAGAAAAAGAAGAAATGATTTGGTCATCTCATTAGAATGCAACCACAACTACCAACATAGAGACTACACCTAAAAAGACCTGATTGATAAATCCAGGCATGTCTGAGAAATGTTCTCTTTGGTCAACCCCATCCACTTTTTCTCAGGAGCGGCCCTCTAATATTCTCGTCATCGTTTCATCATGTCTTAAGGTGTGATCCAACCATAGGAATTTTCACAATTTAATTACTTAAAAAAATATTTTCTATTTTCTTTCCATTGTCTTCAATTGTCCACAACTTGTTCATTTGTATGGTTTTCCATCCAGATAAGTTTTATCGTTTCCCAGTAATATCACATCTTGAATGCATCTAAATATTTTAAGCATACAGGAATCATATCAGACTCCATATACATCCTTCAGAATATTGCAACATGTAGCATTTGCCCTGCATAGATAGACAGCATTTTGAAGTCACACCACCTCCTCCACTTGGATCTACACACCTGGGCATTCTGATGTAAAAGGTAATGAATGAGAGGATCAGCTGGCCAGTAATGCACCAAAATGTGGAGGAAGAAACAAGGACAGAGCTGATATCATCAACACTATACAGACTCAGACTAGATTCTTAGAGGAGTCTCTGGAGCCAACACATTTACATGACTCTGGAGTAAAGCCTGGTGAGACATGTATTTGCTGACTTTGAGGTCAAGATATGAGGCATGGTAATGCCTTGAGTGCAAGGATGCTGACATAACATTATCACGCTTCATAATTGTTCACACTTCAGAACTGCATGATATGACAGACAAGATATACTTCAAAGAATTCTTTGTCATAGATATAAAATATATGTTCTTTGAAGTTTTGTTTTTGTTGTTTCTCTGTACTTACCCTCTTTGGCATTGTGATTTTAATAACTGTTTCAGTTCAGCATTTTCAGTTATAGAAAGGCCCAGTTATGTAAATGTTTTTCCTTGTGCAGGGTGACATCAGAAGCCAGATAGAAGCTGTCCGAGCAATCAAAAATATGTCAGAAGATGTATTGCTACAAGAGGTATATTGTTTAGTTAAGAATAATGTATTCAGACCACTGTGTGAACATCTGACCACAAAGAATGTCAGGCTTCTGGATCTTCTCTTAGACACTATAACCAACATCATCGAAGTAAGATTTTTATTGTTCTTTTTCTTTTTGTTCTTTTTTAACTTGAAGACTAAACTATAATTACTTTACCACTTATCTTGATAATAGTCTACATTCTGTGGTCACACTGGGAGGAGAAAACTGAAGTATATCATGATCATGGGAAGGCTAGAGGAGAAGAGAAGCAGAAGGATAAACCTGGTTTTTCTTATAAATAAGAGTAAGTCTGATGAATTGTTGTTTCTAATAATGCTGTATGACATTTGAAAATAAACTAAAACTGGTTGTGACTGCAGAAATTAGGAGAGGAAGAAAAATGAGCAGGGCAGACAAAAGACATTGATAGACAAAGGACTCAAGAGGTAAGAACTGCCTGTGGAAGTTGGTATTAAACAAGAACAAGCATGCAGACATCAGTTGCAGGGCAAAGAAAAAAAGATGTACCAGTCAACTCCGACTGGTAGGATAAGCATGGAGACACTGAGAAGGCTTCTGTATCAGAAAAAGAGCACAAAGGGTCTGACCCATGGGCTGGTTGTCAGTATGGACAAGCACAAAGGGATGCGACCCATGTGCTGGTTGTCAGTATGGACAAGCACAAAGGGATGCGACCAGTGTGCTGGTTGTCAGTATGGACAAGCACAAAGGGATGCGACCAGTGTGCTGGTTGTCAGTATAAACAAGCACAAAGGGATGCGACCAGTGTGCTGGTTGTCAGTATGAACAAGCACAAAGGGATGCGACCAGTGTGCTGGTTGTCAGTATAAACAAGCACAAAGGGATGCGACCAGTGTGCTGGTTGTCAGTATGAACAAGCACAAAGGGATGCGACCAGTGTGCTGGTTGTCAGTATAAACAAGCACAAAGGGATGCGACCAGTGTGCTGGTTGTCAGTATGGACAAGCACAAAGGGATGCGACCAGTGTGCTGGTTGTCAGTATGAACAAGCACAAAGGGATGCGACCAGTGTGCTGGTTGTCAGTATGAACAAGCACAAAGGGATGCGACCAGTGTGCTGGTTGTCAGTATGAACAAGCACAAAGGGATGCGACCAGTGTGCTGGTTGTCAGTATGAACAAGCACAAAGGGATGCGACCAGTGTGCTGGTTGTCAGTATGGACAAGCACAAAGGGATGCGACCAGTGTGCTGGTTGTCAGTATGGACAAGCACAAAGGGATGCGACCAGTGTGCTGGTTGTCAGTATGGACAAGCACAAAGGGATGCGACCAGTGTGCTGGTTGTCAGTATAAACAAGCACAAAGGGATGCGACCAGTGTGCTGGTTGTCAGTATGAATATGCACGAAGGGGTGTGACCAATGTGCTTGTTGTCAGTATGGACAAGCATGAAGAGGTCGACCCATGTGCTGGTTGTCAGTATGGACAAGCACAATGGGGTCCGACCCATGTCCTGGTTGTCAGGACGGACAAGTAACAAAACCCAACCGGGTTAAAACTAGATGTATAAATTTTTTTACAGTTTCAGTAATGGATATTTATGCATATCAATTATGTTTGGTTATTTAATATTACATAATTCTGTATGAAAAACACAAGATTGTAGCAGCAGAGATTGTCAAGTTTAATATTTTTTTTTTCTTCAAATAATTATAGTTATTAAATGGAGTAGTCTATCTTTATGGATTTTAACAGTAGTCTTATCTCTCACACCCACCCACACACGCACACATGTCTGCCAAGACAGTGGTCTGCTTTAGTGCAGGTGGTGGTATAGTGAATACATGTATCTGCCAAGACAATGGTCTGCATTAGTGCAGGTGGTATAGTAAATACATGTGTCTGCCAAGACAGTGGTCTGCATTAGTGCAGGTGGTATAGTGAATACATGTGTCTGCCAAGACAGTGGTCTGGTTTGGCCTGGGTGGTATAGTGAATACATGTGTCTGCCAAGACAGTGGTCTGCATTAGTGCAGGTGGTATAGTGAATATATGTGTCTGCCAAGACAGTGGTCTGCATTAGTGCAGGTGGTATAGTGAATACATGTGTCTGCCAAGACAATGGTCTGCATTAGTGCAGGTGGTATAGTGAATACATGTGTCTGCCAAGACAGTGGTCTGGTTTGGCCTGGGTGGTATAGTGAATACATGTGTCTGCCAAGACAGTGGTCTGCATTAGTGCAGGTTGTATAGTGAATACATGTGTCTGCCAAGACAGTGGTCTGCATTAGTGCAGGTGGTATAGTGAATACATGTGTCTGCCAAGACAGTGGTCTGCATTAGTGCAGGTGGTATAGTGAATACATGTCTGCCAAGACAGTGGTCTGCATTAGTGCAGGTGGTATAGTGAATACATTTGTCTGCCAAGACAGTGGTCTGCTTTTGTGCAGGTGGTATAGTGAATACATTTGTCTGCCAAGACAGTGGTATGCATTAGCCATAGTGGTATAGTGAATACATTTGTCTGCCAAGACAGTGGTCTGCATTAGCCCTGGTGGTATAGTGAATACATTTTTCTGCCAAGACAGCTGTCTGCATTAGCCCTGGTGGTATAGTGAATACATTTGTCTGCCAAGACAGCTGTCTGCATTAGCCCTGGTGGTATAGTGAATACAATTGTCTGCCAAGACAGTGGTCTGCATTAGTGCAGGTGGTATAATGAATACATTTGTCTGCCAAGACAGCTGTCTACATTAGCCCTGGTGGTATAGTGAATACAATTGTCTGCCAAGACAGTGGTCTGCATTAGCCCTGGTGGTATAGTGAATACATTTTTCTGCCAAGACATTGGTCTGTATTAGTGCAGGTGGTATAGTGAATACATTTATCTAAAACAGTGGTCTACATTAGCCGTGGTGGTATTGTGAATACATTTGTCTGCCAAGACAGTGGTCTGCATTAGTGCAGGTGGTATAATGAATACATTTGTCTGCCAAGACAGCTGTCTACATTAGCCCTGGTGGTATAGTGAATACAATTGTCTGCCAAGACAGTGGTCTGCATTAGCCCTGGTGGTATAGTGAATACATTTTTCTGCCAAGACATTGGTCTGTATTAGTGCAGGTGGTATAGTGAATACATTTATCTGCCAAGACAGTGGTCTGCATTAGCCCTGGTGGTATAGGGAATACATTTGTCTGCCAAGACTGTGGTCTGGTTTGGCCTGGATGGTATAGTGAATACATTTGTCTGCCAAGACAGTGGTCTGGTTTGGCCTGGGTGGTATAGTGAATACATTTTCTTGCCAAGACAATGGTGAGAATGCAGACTCTTGAAGAATCAGAAAGATTGATCAGACAGCCTGTGTGTATTATTACATCATCTGCTACCCTGGACAGAAGGACTGGCCACTAAGAATGCAATCTGACTTATCTTCTCACAGATATCAGGTATATTAGGTCCACCGGAATCTCTCTTTCACATCTTGGAAGAAACTAATGCTGTAGACACAATTAAGCAACTGCAGAACCATAATAACTGGATCATCCGCAGCAAATCACACAGAATTTATGAAAAATTCTTCAGCCTCAGTGTAAGTAATTTTATTTGTTAAAATTGAGTTGTGTATTCTTTACAGGACATTGCAGGACCAACCCCAGCCTTTTCTGTCTGGTTTTAAAAAAAAACTTTACTAGGCAATTTTTACATTCAGTAGTTTGCCATTGCCCCTGAATGGTCGGCTCTCTATACTATTGTTGAAATCAAAATCAAAGCAAAGCAATCTGCTGCCAGATCAGTTGCAGCTGAACCAAATCAGGTAATACAGATTCATCAACATCAAGGACATTCATAATTGCTAAGCCCCAGATTCTGATTTGTTTTGTAGATAGTAAATTTGCACATTCAAGATGAAGTTTAAAATGTAGGTATGTTCTGTGCTGAGTGGCAAGCACTGGATCAGAGGTCATGGGTAAAAAGCATCATTGTGATATTTTCTGCACATCATCCAGTTGTTTTGAGAAATGAACAGTCAGAGAGACTGGCTGGTTCTGCATCAGTTGGTTGTAAGTAAATGTATGACAAGCTAGCTGTTATTAAGGCCTCCCTGGGGAGTGAATGAACAACACAGAAGCGTAAATAGATCATCACAGTCTGCAGATAAAGGAGGGGAGGGACCAGAGGTTCTCGCTGATGCTCAACTCTTGTAGAAAAACGAGATATATAATTGAAGGAATCAGAACTCTGCACTAGCTTCTGAAGACTAGGACAGGGTGCTTATGAGAATGATAATTCTTCCAGGTCACTTCATCTTCTTCTCTTGTGCCTTTGTTAGTGGGTAGATAATACCCAGGTAACGGTGGAGTCTCTGGTCAAGTCAAAAAACCTTTCAGCTCCTATTCAGATGGTTTTAGGTTTGTTTCTGAACTGCATTGTTCAGTCTGAAGAACACCCAGGTTAGAAAAATGCTTGCATGCTGTAAAAAGTTTAAATTGACATTTGACTATGAGGCCTAGACAATTAATAAAGCCAAACAATTTATTAAGGCCTCAGAAATGTGGTTTTCCAGAAGCTTTCATAGAATTTCAATTGTATGTAGACTTTAGGTTCTTTGCTTTTCAGGCAGATGCACTTCAACTTCGAATAAAACATCTCTAATTAGTCCCCTTTTATGGCATGCTTGTTTGGGAGGTGGGGAGGGGGGGGGGCGGGGGAGACAATAAGCCTGACCCATAAAGGGAGAAAAATCTACAATAGTTAGTGACATAAAATGCTCTACTTTTATTTTTTCAGTTGAAAAAGGTTCAGGTGCAAGTGAACAGTATGATGCTAACCACCAGCCAACATTTAGAAATAGTCTTCCATTGAGAATATCTGATGACCTTCCCGTCAATGAAAATGAGGTCAACTTCCGGAGGTGTTCAATATAGGGAGGTGGTCAATACAGGGAGGTGGTGAACTTTGGAAGTTCTACTGTAAATGCAATAAAAATAACAGCAAAAGAACAATTGTTGGTGAAAGAAAACGTTCTCCTTTTTTTTTTTCAGTCGGACGAGGAATCAGCACCAGAGAACCATAACGATGATAACCAGGATCGCTACAGCACAGATGAATACTGAATCAGATTCAAGTGCTGACCTGTTTCTTACTCATGAGCTACCATACGATTTAATGTAAATATATGGACAATTGGGCTACCATACAATTTAATGTAAATATATGGAGGCATGGGCTACCATACAATTTAATGTAAATATATGGACAATTGGGCTACCATACAATTTAATGTAAATATATGGAGGCATGGGCTACCCTACAATTTAATGTAAATATATGGAGGCATGGGCTACCCTACAATTTAATGTAAATATGTGGACAATTGGGCTACCATACAATTTAATGTAAATATATGGAGGCATGGGCTACCATACAATTTAATGTAAATATGTGGACAATTGGGCTACCATACAATTTAATGTAAATATATGGAGGCATGGGCTACCCTACAATTTAATGTAAATATGTGGACAATTGGGCTACCATACAATTTAATGTAAATATATGGAGGCATGGGCTACCATACAATTTAATGTAAATATGTGGACAATTGGGCTACCATACAATTTAATGTAAATATATGGAGGCATGGGCTACCATACAATTTAATGTAAATATATGGACACATGGCTTTCATATGATGAAATGTAAAATATGAATACATGGGCTTTCATACAATGAAATGTAAAATATCAACACATGGCCTACCACACAAGGAAATGTAAAATGAACACATGAACTAAACCTTACAATTTTAAACACAAATTCCATTCTGTGCTGTTCAGTTTTATTTCAAACATTGGCTGAAAAGATTTAATTATTTTTAAATTTTATTTATACAGAATATCAAGCTGTAAATTTTAAAATAAAGTAAAATAACTGCTAATATTTTAAAGAATACATTGTCAACTCTACTGCTTCAAAATCACAATTATTTGGTTTTTGTTTCATTACATTTAAGATTTTTATCCATTTTAATGCTTTTATCACTGGGCCATGTTTTTTAGATTTCACATTTGTGTACATTGCTCAGTTTATCATTGACATCTAATCAGTCTGCAAATTCGTGTTTAAGGCTGTATATACCTCTTCACTCTGTCTTATTTGATTAAGCTTGTTATGCCTCCTCACGCTCTCTCTCCTATTCTTTGAGACAGCTGTTTGTGCCTCCTCACTCTCTCCTATTCTTTGAGACAGCTGTTTGTGCCTCCTTACTCTTTCCAATTCTTTAAGACAGCTGTTTGTGCCTCCTTACTCTTTCCAATTCTTTCAGACAGCTGTTTGTGCCTCCTTACTCTCTCCAATTCTTCAAGACAGCTGTTTGTGTCTCCTTACTCTTTCCTATTCTTTGAGACAGCTGTTTATAGTTTCTTACTCTCTCCTATTCTTTGGGACAGCTGTTTAGTGCCTCCTTACTCTTTCCTATTCTTTGAGACCTATTTGTGCCTCCTTTTGAGACAGCTGTTTGTGCTTCCATACTCTCTCTTGTTCTTTGTTACAGCTTTTGTCTGTTTATTCTTTCCTGTTCTCAGTTACTAAGTTGTTGATACCTCTTCACTCTATCCTGTTCTGACACACTAATCTGTTATTGACTCTTTACTCTCTTCAAATCTTAGACACTGTTGTTTATGCCTGTCAACTTTTCCCCAATCTCAGAAATATGGTGGTTTATGCCTCTTTTTAGTCTCTCCTATTCTCTTACACATCTGTTTATTCCTCTTTAGTCTCTTTCTCTTACACAGCTGTTTATGCCTCTCAAGTCTCTCCTATTCTCTTACACATCTGTTCATGCCTCTTTAGTCTCTCCTATTCTCTTACAACTCTTTAGTCTCTCCTATTCTCTTACACATCTGTTCATGCCTCTTTAGTCTCTCCTATTTACACAGCTGTTTACACCTCTTTAGTCTCTCCTATTTACACAGCTGTTTCCACCTCTTTAGTCTCTCCTATTTACACAGCTGTTCACACCTCTTTAGTCTCTCCTATTCTCTTACAACTCTTTAGTCTCTCCTATTCTCTTACACAGCTGTTTACACCTCTTCAGTCTCTCCTATTTACACCTCTTTAGTCTCTCCCATTTACACAGCTGTTTACACCTCTTTAGTCTCTCCTGTTCTCTTATACAGCTGTTTATGCCCCTTTAGTCTCTCCATTTCTCTTAAACAGCTGTTTATGCCCCTTTAGTCTCTCCTATTCTCTTACAGGGCTGTTAATGCCCCTTTAGTCTCTCCTATTCTCTTACACAGCTGTTTATGCCCCTTTAGTCTCTCCTATTCTCTTACACGGCTGTTTATGCCCCTTTAGTCTCTCCTATTCTCTTACAGGGCTGTTTATGCCCCTTTTGTCTCTCCTATTCTCTTACACAGCTGTTTATGCCCCTTTAGTCTCTCCTATTCTCTTAACGGCTGTTTATACCCCTTTAGTCTCTCCTATTCTCTTACACGGCTGTTTATGCCCCTTTAGTCTCTATTCTCAATTAGCTGCTCACACCTTTTCATTCTCTCCTGCCTAACATTCAGCACAACCCAAGCTACCTCTGCAACATTCTTGTGTACTTCTGCCATTTTTACTAGAATTAACTTTCTTTCATCGCACATTTTCAGTAAGTCTCTAATTTATCATAAATGATAAATAATTTTAGCTTTGAAACTTGAGTTGTCATAAATTTATATATTCATACAATGCAATGAACTGTCATAAATATTTTATTTTATAAAGTCATTAAAACAGTGCAGCAGTCTAACTGTGATGTTAGTTTATGTTTGTTTGGGAATGTGACAGTTTGGAGGTTTCTATATTTGTTGCTCTCCAGTCATCTGTATTACTATATTAATTATATGAGAAAATGAGTCAGGATGTTTCTACGCTTGTTGCACTTAATATGTATTTTTCTAAATTGTCAGTATTCTGAGCCCTTCAGGTTCATTACCACAGTTATCACCTACCCCCTTCATTGATCTATCTGATTTAGTCTCTAACACCCAGTTTAACTGTCCATTGAAACCGATCTAATTTCAAGGTTTAGATATCTATTTTGTGACAAAATGAGGTTTTATAAAGGCAAGAATGTCAGTGTCTCTGATGTTATTTTTCCATTTTCTTCCCGATGTACCATGTGCTCTAAGTCCTTCTCCTCTTTTATTGTATGCTTTGTATGGAATGTTGCTGCAAGGTGTTCTAACTGGACAAAACACTTGATCTGCTTTGTATGTGATTTAGAACTGGTTCTGTGCCAGCTTTTTCTCTTATAATCTTGTTCCTGATATTTTTTCTTCTGGCCAACTCTGCAGATATTCATTAGCATCTCATTTCCATGATCACTAATTTGTTTCCTGGTTTGTTGTAAGTGACTATGTCTGGCAGCACAGGGTGGGGGGTAAATAAGCTTTGGATGTTTCTTTGTGCTGATTGGGAGTATCTTATGCTGTAAGAGAAACTAGCTGTCCCAATACTTGGACTAACGGTCACACATGACACTGCTGCACAAGATCAATCTATTAACTTGCTGCAGTGATCAGCAACGAGGCTAATTCTAAACTTTAAAAAAAAATCGCCACAGACAGCAAGTTAGGTTTTTGGTTGTTGCCCCTGACAGAACAAAATCTTCACCCTTGACTAAGGATTGAACCTTTCTTCTGCTTGAGAGCCCAACACTACCGCCAGTGGTTCGTCCCTTTTCAAACCATGTTGCCCCCAAAAAAGCCATTTTCTAAGGCTTTTGATGGCAGTCTTTGGTCAGTAGCCACCAGATCTATATAGCAGCTGTGGTAGAGCTTGCAACTGCATAGTATGTAGATAAACCGAGTGTGATTATATTTACATACACACATACGAAAAATACTGCTTGGGAGTGGGGGGGGGGGGAACAAATGTTATCATAATCTCCTTTTGACATCACTCTGCTGCACTGGTTGTCAACAAGACCATGTTTATCATTGTTAAAAGAAAGGAAAGCAGTTAAATTGTAGCCCCTTTATTAGAGATTAGGGTTTCTTTGGGCGTCCTCACCTCCTTAATCCCTTTATTTACCATCTGAGTGCTTGTTTGGTGATTCACTGCTGGCTTTTTCACCAGATTTGTCCAATATAGGGCTCTTCTTGATCTCATAACTGTTGATACTAGTGGTTGCCCAGACATTTCTCTTTTTTCTTCACTCCTTTTGAATTCATCCTATTCTTATTTTCATTATTTTTGTCCAGGCATTTGTTTTTGAATGCTTTTAACTGGAACAATACCCATCAGGAAATTCATTGAGAAATGAAGACAGAAAAGGCATGCTTACCTAGTGTGAATGAATTCAATGATGCTGGCAGCAGAAATGTACAACACGTAAATGGAAACATAAAGAAGTAAAGAAGATGGATTGAAAGAGTCGCTGACAGCCTTAGACATGACAGGCAAGTGAGCATACCCTGGCTCAGGTACCACATCTAGCGATAACAATTACAAAAAAAAAAATCTAAAACAACCAATACCGTATCTAACGACCTTTTATTCAGAAAATGGCCTTTAGCAAGACACAAAACCTCCTCACCAACAAGAAGTCAACTCCAACAAGAAGGCTGAAGTGCTGCGTAGAACCTGTGTTGTCATACACATGTTAAACATGGACAATTAGAAGACAAGCTGGAAAAACCTCTACACACAGCAATTGTGTTCTTTCTGAGAAGAATGCAAAGAATATCAGGGAAGTCCCCGTGTGGGTTCCGGGGCCCTATTAAGTCCCCGTGTGGGTTCCGGGGCCCTATTAAGTCCCCGTGTGGGTTCCGGGGCCCTATTATATGGAAAACAAGAATAGATCCACTGCCTACCCAAAAGCATGTTGTAAGAGCTGACTAATTGGTAGCTTCCTTCGAAGTCAGAATGTATCTGCCTGAGAGGCAAGGAACCAGCAGTCTGCATACAAATGAGTCAGATCTGTAAAACAGATGCACACGTAACTCAGGTTCTGGAACAACCAGAACTTTCCACCGGAGTTTACAGCTGGTGAACGCGAAGAAGAATATCAGGGAAGGATAAAAAAATAAACGAAGCAGTCCTCACTGATACAGATGAAAGTCGTTAACTTTTTTGAACTATTAGACGTGGCCAGTCAGTCTTTGTTCTGGACATGTTGAGAGAAGGGATGGACTGGAGAACTTGGTAACAACGGGCAAGATTGATGGAAAAAAGACAAAGAGATAAATACCTGAATAGGGTGAGACAAAAACCCTGAAATGACCCATGATTCTGATGATCGTGTGAGATGGCGAAACATGACATGCAAATTACCGGCAAGGCACATGATGATGATGATGATCTAACAACTAGGACAGTAATCTTTATCAACTCTGATCACTTAATTCACACAAGAGTTCCACTCAAGCACCAAAAATAAAACACACAAAAAGCAACCAGTATCAAAGAACTTTTTAATACACAAAAACAATGCATTCACCAAATACATCTGTGAATATAAATGCCAGAGGTCCACAACTTCTATCACATTTGCACACAGGCGTCTACACTTAACACAAGTCTGACGTCAGTTTCCTGAGTTCAGCGTTTCACTCTCGTAATTGGTGTAACACAAAAACTCGTTCTGTAGCTGCTTCTGGTGGGTAGGCCTGAATTCACACGGTGACACATTCAGCAGTTTCAGAGCCAGGCTTTCCATGACAGCACCTGGAGATCCGAAACAATGTACAAATTGTATGATCATTATTTGACAGATTCCAAAATGACGTAAGGGTTTCCTTGACTCACGACTAACAGGTTGTAAGCTGAATTTATATTTTCAATACTATTTTCATTTAAACAGGTGTATATATATATATTTTTAAAAATGCACAAAACACACACAAATTAATCTATGTAAGTATAATTATTAGGGGGCGGATATATAAAAACAATTATTTGGGCTCCCAGGTCTACCCAGGTAGTCCTGGGAAGTGAAGGTGACTGACATGATGCTCACCCCCCCCCCCCCCCCAATGCCTTCTGGTCTATAAAAAATAGGTCCAGCCCTATATACCCAATAAGCCTGAAGGTGTGGAAAAAAGATCCTTTATTAATTTTTTTTTAGATAATTATTTTACATAATGTGAAAAATACACTACATCAGTTCGGGAAATCTTTGTTTCTACAGATGTAGCTATTTTTATTTATAATATCTGTGTGTTTGTGTAAGTGCAGAAGGTCATAAGTCGCAAGGGTCGTGAGTTGAGGAAAAAGTGTACTCATGGTAGAGAATGTCAAGCCCTGCCAGATCAGTGCCAGCCTGTCATTAAAATACATTCAACAAGATTTGAGCTAGGACACACTTGGGAGGATGGAGGATGGTAGAGTTCCCGCGGACTTCCTCTATGCTAAAATTAGACGAGTAGAATGAGCAAACCTTATTTTCAAAAGTTTGTTTATTCGTTCGTTTTTCTTCTCCTCCTCAATTGTTCTTGTTGTTGTTGTTCTTCATCTTTTCTTCCTCCTCCTTCTACATTTACTTTTAACTGCGCGGTTTTCATGCTGTGTCATGGTTTACAGCTAGTCTGTGACATCTTTGCTTTCGGCTGCCTTTAATATCCCTACACCAAGCACTTTGTAGAACTTTCCATGGGTTTGTTTCTTTTGATTGCATGAAAAGAGCATTCTGTCTATCGCAGCAGACAGATAATGTGGTCAGCCTCTATGATATAAAGATGTGTGTATGCAGCACATGAATGATACAGATCCTGAGGTGGATTCATGGGGGGAGGGGATGACTACAGATAGGTTCAGCTGGGGTGTGTATTATATTTAATATCATGTTGCTATTGGTGTCACTCTTTGGAGTCAGGATTTGTACCAGCCTCCTAAGCTTCTAACTGAAGACGTAAGATAAGCAAGATACCATCCACACACATCAACTCTCAAACCACTTTCCAACCAAGTGGGTTCCAGGGCAACAAGAACAGATCCCTGCCCCTACCCACAAGCACGTTTCCTATGAAGTCCAGTGCATCTGCCTGAGAAGCGAGGAACCAACAGTCTGCATACAAAACAAATCTACAAAGTTTTGGAACAAGGCTTAACTTCAGAAGTAGACAAACAACCAGAACTTTCTGTTTGAATTTACAGCCAGTGAACGCCAACATGAACTAGAAGGGGAAACACTTGGGGTATAACTTCACAGGAAGCCAAGGAGTTGGCAAGAGACTAAACAAAATGACCTCCTACATGATGCTAATGGTATCATTAAATAGTCAGAATATGTACGAGCACCCACAACTTCAAGGTAGTGGCCAGATACCACCAAATACTTTACATCAACTCTCAAATAACTTTTCTGTAAACAGTCTCACCTGTGCACAATATTATCTTGTCTCTTGCCAAATACTTGAGTGTAAGAGCTGTCTTCGTTAGGCATTCCTCCGACAAAAATGGAGGATCGGCTATCACAACATCAAAGTGGTTCTTCAGGCAGGTATCCAGGTCCAGGGGCTCATTGAAGTCATAGAAGATAAAGTCGTTTCCAAACATCTCAAATTTTCTGTCATACTCCAGGCATTTAACTTCCACATTTAGAGACTTTAGGCCCACCAGTTTTCTGTACACAGTTGGCGAGCTAACACAAGCTATGCTGAAAAGATGATAAAATATAGCAATGAAGAACTATTCACAGCAAGGTAATAAAGACATCTACAGGAAGACACTCACAGCAAGGTAATAAAGACATCTGCAGGAAGACACTCACAGCAAGGTAATAAAGACATCTGCAGGAAGACACTCACAGCAAGGTAATAAAGACATCTCACAGCAAGGTAAGAAAGACATCGGCAGGAAGACACTCACAGCAAGGTAATAAAGACATCGGCAGGAAGACACTCACAGCAAGGTAATAAAGACATCTGCAGGAAAATACTCACAGCAAGGTAATAAAGACATCGGCAGGAAGATACTCACAGCAAGGTAATAAAGACATCGGCAGGAAGATACTCACAGCAAGGTAATAAAGACATCGGCAGGAAGATACTCACAGCAAGGTAATAAAGACATCGGCAGGAAGACACGCACAGCAAGGTAATAAAGACATCTGCAGGAAGACACTCACAGCAAGGTAATAAAGACATCTGCAGGAAGATACTCACAGCAAGGTAATAAAGACATCGGCAGGAAGATACTCACAGCAAGGTAATAAAGACATCTGCAGGAAGACACTCACAGCAAGGTAATAAAGACATCTGCAGGAAGATTCTCACAGCAAGGTAATAAAGACATCTGCAGGAAGATACTCACAGCAAGGTAATAAAGACATCGGCAGGAAGATACTCACAGCAAGGTAATAAAGACATCTACAGGAAGACACAACAAAGAACATCTGTAGTATAATCTTCTTCTTCCTTGCATTCCCTATTAGTGCAACAAAGCATGGCCTATGATACTACAACATCCAGTTTGAGAATAGAGGTAAAGGCAAGCCACAGGCAGCTTTCTGTTGGCTTCAGAACCAGCTGCACACTCAGAACTACAAATCATGCTAAGAAAGGTGGAGACGGGCATGCTCCCAGTAGCTTCGCAAGCATCTCTTCATAGGTCTCATGTAGTTAGCATTCTTCGTTTATGTTCTGTGAGGTACGCAGGCATGCTGGAAAAAGAACGGTCACACAGATTGGCTAGTTCTGCGCAAGTGGCTGGTGAAACTGATGCACAAGAAGCCGGATGTAGTCGGGGGCCCTTTGGGAGCACGTGACAATGCAGAGACATGAATAGATCATTATGGTTAGGAGAGAATGGTTCAGCTGGGAGTCACTAAGGGATATGGCTGAAACTCTACACTCAGAGGAAAGGTCAGGCAGACGTATAATTAAACAGTTACTGGCTAGCAGGAATTATTTATTTGCTGCTGAAGATGAGGACAGAGCATTTACATGGTAACTATTCCTGAGTGCTGTGGTGTCAGTTCTCAGCTGATTCCATATTGGAGTTCAGGCCCTTAATATCCACACACCAAGCCCTTTGTTGACTTTTCAATGGGTTTGTCTCTTTTGATCACATTAACATTGCAGGAGTCCTTTTTCAGGGCTCTTGGTGGCGGGAAATGCTAAGACATTTTATATGGCGCACCTATTCACAATTATAACCGAAAGCTCCACCTTCGGGGATGCTGGTTGAATGTGATGATTTGTCCTCCCAGCAAAGCACCCACCTACCTACCTATCATGACTAACTGGATTTTTAGCTAGTATATATGGATTAGGGCTATCCTCAGAATGACGGTCCCAAAATATTGAGGCCGGAAATATACCCTAACAGGCCTCAGTCATATGTAAATCGTGGACTTCTTTCCTGCGAATACACTGCTTCCGCAGAGTTAAGGTCACTGCCGAGAGTTACCCCCGCACTGCTACACGCGGAGCGGAGGGGGCTAAACTAGATGGCTGGGACTCACGTGCACAGATACCGCAACTCCTTACATTATATTTGCTCGTGAGTCCCAGCCATCAAGTTTAGCGCCCCTCTGCACTGTGCGGTAGTCGCCGGAAAGAGGTCCGCAATAAACATATGACTGGGGCCCTGTTAGGGTATATTTCCGGCCTCGATAATTTGGGACCGTTATTCAGAGGATAGCCTGGATTAGGTAGTTAGTCTCACAGCAGCTTTCCTTAGCTGTCTCTTATTGACATGCATGGTAACTATTCTTTGCTTCTCTTATGGGCACTGGTAGCATATAGCAGATTGCAAGCATTATAATAATAATATTCACAAGGAAGCTATGATGATGTAGTGACTAGATGCTGGCCCGAAGGTCCTGGCCTTGAACCCGCATGAATTGGGATTTTTTTTTTAATGACCTTGGTTCCCTGTTGTGACCCGACCTAGAATGTGTACCAGGTAAAGTTCTAGGAAATAAAGGTGGGTGGCATGATGCTGACCACATCACCTGTTGTGTGTCGACTGCTCTATAAAAGTTTAGTCTGGTATCATATGTCCAGACATGCCACTCAGGTGAAAAAAGTTCCCTAGTGTACTAAAATATTCACCAGCAGCTACCACAAAGGCTAACTTACCGTCCATATTCTCCAGCGACAGCCAAAGCTTCCCTGGCCAGTATCTCTGCTGTTTTATCATCGTACCAAAACTGGCTCAGTTGCTGTTGAGTAAACGAACACATCAGATTTCTGGACAAAACTAATTTAAATTACAGATCATGTGAACACACTCTGTCAATACAGTAGGCAGTTCTTATTATTTTGTATCTTTCAACTCTTTAAAATACAAGCATACCTGAATAGATTTCTCAAGTTATTGTCTCGTCAACTGGCATCCATGCTGTAAGGTGCTGTAACACTGTCCGCTGTAGTAGCTGTTATAATACACTGTTAGACTGATACTACATAATACCATTATACCTCCACTGACTATTACCTGATTGTCTGGGGTACAGATGGATGCTACACTTCACAAGGAAAAATGTATCCAACTGTTTTCTCAGTTCTTCCTCTTCTCATCTCTCTTCATCAATCTCCTTTTCTCACTCTCCCTAAAAAATACCCTATTACAATGCAACACCCCAAAATTAGCAACACAGGTGGCAACACAAGGAGGATCACAGCAGCTGGGTGAGCAGCAGGTTGAGATAGTTTACAGCTATAACAAAAGAGAGACAGCCTGCTGGAGATACACTGCAGCCAACCTTCACCGTGGAGAAGACCACTGACTGAAAGAATGAACACATGGGTCTGTGGAGAAGACCCATGACTGAAAGAATGAACACATGAGTCTGTGGAGAAGACCCCTGACTGAAAGAATGAACACATCAGTCTGTGGAGAAGACCCCTGACTGAAAGAATGAACACATCAGTCTGTGGAGAAGACACATGACTGAAAGAATGAACACATTAGTCTGTGGAGAAGACACATGACTGAAAGAATGAACACATTAGTCTGTGGAGAAGACCCCTGACTGAAAGAATGAACACATTAGTCTGTGGAGAAGACCCCTGACTGAAAGAATGAACACATTAGTCTGTGGAGAAGACCCATGACTGAAAGAATGAACACATGAGTCTGTGGAGAAGACCCATGACTGAAAGAATGAACACATTAGTCTGTGGAGAAGACCCCTGACTGAAAGAATGAACACATTAGTCTGTGGAGAAGACCCCTGACTGAAAGAATGAACACATTAGTCTGTGGAGAAGACCCCTGACTGAAAGAATGAACACATGGGTCTGTGGAGAAGACCCATGACTGAAAGAATGAACACATTAGTCTGTGTAGAAGACCCCTGACTGAAAGAATGAACACATTAGTCTGTGGAGAAGACCCATGACCGAAAGAATGAACATATTAGTCTGTGGAGAAGACCCATGACTGAAAGAATGAACATATTAGTCTGTGGAGAAGACCTCTGACTGAAAGAATGAACATATTAGTCTGTGGAGAAGACCCCTGACTGAAAGAATGAACATATTAGTCTGTGGAGAAGACCCCTGACTGAAAGAATGAACATATTAGTCTGTGTAGAAGACCCCTGACTGAAAGAATGAACATATTAGTCTGTGGAGAAGACCCCTGACTGACAGAATGAAAACACTAGTTTGATGGAGAAGACCCCTGACTAAAAGAATGAACAGTCTGTGAAGAAGACCCCTTACTGAGAGAATGAACACTTGAGTCATACAGTCAGAGTTCTGGCTTGTTAGATTAAGATCACCAGGATCTGAAGAAAATGGTGCAACAGGGAGTGAGCATGGGATCGTGGCCGACACATGATACTCAGAGGAAAGGCAACATGGACATACAGATTACTGCTACTGTTTCAATCTGAGTTGGAACTATTGGCTGGCTGCTAAAGATGAAGTGCTTATGGCAATGTTCTAAGTGCTGGTATGTCAGTTCTTGAAACTAAACTCAGACAAGTGGCTGGATGAGCCTCATTCAGGAGACCTGGGTCCAAATCCTTGGTAAGACAACATTAAACCTAAACTGCATAGTTTGTGGCATCGGCACCAGTCAGCCCTAAACCCTCTAGCTCAAGATTATGTATCCTAATTCACCCTAAAAGTGCCTTATGCATATGTGCTTGTACACCACTGACTTTGATGAGACTGCTCTGTATCAATTTGTCCATGTTTTAACAAGGGGCAGTGATGAAAACTCTGTGGTTTGTGTTGGGACAAGGATGGAGCAACTCTGGCCTGTTTATGAAGCTGGAACTGCAATTAACTAATTACTCTAAAGTGGTAAATACCAACAAAAAATACTTTTTTATTTAACCCCAATGCACAAGTGACCTTCTGCAAGATGCAAAAAATAACTCACTAAAAAGAATATGTTAACTGCAGTGAGAAAAAAAGAGGGTTAAAGTGCTACAGAACCTGTGCTGTTACATATGCAGGACACAGACAATAAGTATACAAGCTAAACAAATATTTCTCCCAGTGGAGATGTGATTTTTGAGAAGAATGCAAAAAATATCAGGGAATAGAAAAAAAAAATTCGGTCCCCCTCAAGATAGATGAAAGTTGTGCACCAATTGCAACAATTAGGCGTAGGCAGTCTCGTATTGTTCAGACATGCTATGAGAAAGAATGAACTCGAGAACTTCGAAACAACTGGCAAGACTGGTGGAAAGAGAGCAAGAGGATGGCAGAGGGATATATGCCTGGGCCATATGAATGGCTGGGCCATATGATTGAGGAGACACAAGAGCACTGACCTAATCCGTGATTTGGCGATTGTGTGAGATGGCAGAACATGACAGCCTATGTTTACCGGCACTTCACATAATGATGTGATGAATGCATAAACAGGATCAAAAACATACCCAATCTTCCTGTGGCTGAAAATCTGTGATGTGTCCCATCTGAGCCTCAGCCAGTCGCTCATCTTCTAACTCCCGCTCCAAAAAGAACTCCTGTAGGGCGTCTGCTGCAGCGTTTGACAGTCTGGTCTCATAATCAAGATCATCCTCTGGGTCAGGGTGTGACCCAGATTCGCTTACCGGGTTTTTCAGTTTTTCTGCCATTTGTTTTGTGGTTTCAGAAATAATATGTTTGCTGTTTAAAATGAAAATAAAATAGGCATGTAAAAGAATCATTAGTACTGTACGCTATTTGAAGACATAGAAGTTATAAACAACATAACATTAAATGAGGCAAAACAGACACACACACATATAGTAACGTAAAATACCCTTTTCTAGGCCTTTGGGCATATAGTTCTAGACCTATATTCCAGACCAATTTTCACTTAGCAGGTGATGTGGTCACCATCATGTTGGCTGCCTTTATTTTCCAGGACTCTACCTGGTACTCATTTAAGGCTGGGAAGACTGAGAGCTCAGGCCATTTTTGAAAAAAATATGCAGCAATCCTGATTTGAACTCATGACCTTTGGGACTGCAGGCGATCATCTAGCTGCTAGACAATGGTGGCTCCGGTTCTTATTGTTTTCTGGGCCAAATGCATACTGGTTGACCTTTCATTCATGCTTGCTTACCTGTCACATTGGCTAGTCTAGGTTACAGGAGTGTTGCATTGTATTGTCTCCGGTTCTAGCACCGGCGATGACAATCTATATTAATAAAAATGTAAATTTTCCGAGTTTGTTAACTATAAACTCGGAAACTACTGAACCGATTGCTTTCAAATTTTCACACAACGTTGCCTTTGACTCAAAGCATGAGTTTTTGTCAGAAAATTGCACAAACCACGAATGACGTAGCTCCAGCAACGGTCAAATCATTATTTGTTATGTTGCCGGCCCGGATTTGTTTTTAGTTTATTGGCCATTTTTGACTGCTGAGCTCTTATTGAACTTTGCATTACTATATAATTTCATTTCCACTTTCTGCTTGAGTGTTTGGTAGCGTAGTTGTAACTATTCTGCCTATCATGAGAGTGACCTGCGTTCAACTCCCCGCTAGGTGATATAACTTTTTTTTAGCCCCTAACTGGGTGGCTGGCTTGTTGTGTTGTGGTTTATGGCTAGGCTGTGATATCTACGCCTTTTTTCGGTTTTAGGGTTTACAGCTAGCCTGCGACAGCGGCGACATGATGCTCAATAGTCATGTCACGGGTAATCTTCTCTCGCCCTCGAGAGGGCGGTTGGCACATTGCGTTGTGGTTTACAGCTAGGCTGCAATATCTGACCTAAACTCTTCAGTCTTCGGTAGTGTAGTTAAAAGTATTCCACCCTTCATGCGGGTGACTGGTGTTTGATTCCTCACTGGGTGATAATTGTTCTTTTTTCCTCAAAAGGGTGGTTGCCACGTTGTGTTGTGGGTTACAGCTAGGTTGCGATATCTGCGCCTTTCGCCTAAAGCCATTCGATTTCAGTTAAGCCCCAATTAGCCTACCCGCGACGCTTCTCGATCAAAAACTATTCAGCGATGACAGAAACTGTTAACTAAGATGGCTTACAGTCCAGTTTAGTTTGGGTGGACACAGATGCCAAGGTCAGTTAAAAATCGTTCCTTTGGAGAGGGAGAGATGATGGGTGCGGGGTATTTTTCTCAGCTATTCGTGAGTATTGTGTACTTTTTACTGTGGGTTCCAACACTGGTTACGTGATGAAAGTTTTTTTTTTCTATGTCGGGGGCAACATTAAACTAAAAAGTCTGTGGTGACAGCATGCGGCGCTAACTCCTCTTTTCTACACCGACCTACACAGACTGTAGTGACAGTTTTTGTTGTTGCGATGGTGGTGGTGGTTGCAGTAGTACTGGTACTGGATGGGTGATGTGGTAGCTGTTTCACTGTCCACATTTAAGTCTGGGTGGACATGGATGCCAAGCTCAATTTAGTTACAATATTTCGTCACTTAGTGACTTTCCCATCCTTCGGAGAGGATGACATGATGTATGCCAGACACAGCTGGGAGAGCTTAAAATATTATTTTAATGTTCTCATTTCTTAACTATTTCTATTTTAATAATTTCGCCAGGTGATTTTTCAATCCTTCGGAGAGTGCGAGATATGATTAGTGGAGGGGGAGTGGGTGGGGTTATGCCAGAAATATTTAGCTGAGAGAGCTTAAAATATTATTTTAAAGTTCTCAATTTTTAACTATTTCTATTATAATTTCGCCATGGATGATTTTTCAATCCTTCGGAGAGGGAGATATGACTGGGTCGAGGTAAGCTAAGAGCTATTTTCTTTCCTCTCGATTTCACCATTCTGGGCCACAGCAACGCGTGGCAGTTTTACTATTTTACACGATGTGACAGCTTTTAATGATATCAGAATGGGCTAAACTAGATGGCTGGGACTCACGAGCCGCAGCTTCCTCAATATTAATTTGCTTGTGAGTCCCAGCCATCTAGTTTAGCACCCCCCCTCCTCCGCGCATAGCAGCACGGGAGATACTCTCGGCGGTGGCGGTATGGTAACCAGAAAGAGGTCTGCAATCCCTGAGGCCCTGGTAGGGTATTTACTATTACTAGTTTTTTAACCTCGATATATAATTTGGGACCGTTATTCGGAGGACAGAGTAGAGCCATGGCTCCCAAATATGTGTATGAGAGGGAAATCGTTGAAATACAAGCACAAACACCAGATCCACAAGTTTGAGAAACACAAGCGACACAAACACGAAAACCACAACATATTAGAGAAATAGTAGTTGGTACAATACAACAAGAAACACAAACACGAGATCCAACCAGACCACAAGTTACTAAGTCAGAGTTGCAGTTGATTGATGATGGAAGTTCAACCCCACCAGGACCACACGAGAGACAAACAATCAGTGACACAAAGTGTCATCATACAAATGTGAATTATCCAGGCGTAAGTCCCAGAATTTAGAGAAACAAAAGAAACGCAAACAAACACAGGAGCCCTATACCACTAGAACTGGCGGCTGACATGACAGGGTGGTTGTAAATTGACTCTAGCCAGAGGAGATTTCCGTTTCCGTTTCTTTTCTGAAATCTTCTTTTTAATCTTATCCTTCGCCTGCACCTTTTTCTTCTTAATTCGCACTTAAAATAATGGTTGGCGTGCAGTATTGTGGTTAGAGCTAGGCTGTGATATTTCCGCCTTTCGACACAACACATATATTATTGCCACCAAACCCGTCATTAGTGGATACGCTTGTTCAGGCGTGACCAGTCATTTTACCTCTATCTGGGGCTACTGAGGGGGAGACCAGAGCACCTTTGGATCTGTGATAATACTTAGCCCTTACTAATGTATCTCCCTCTTCCAATGGGGCTCCAGAACCCACACAAGGGACCTGAATGTTGACACCCTGAGATTTTAAATCTCAATTGAGATTGATCAACAATGTAAATTTAAATGTTTCTTTCAACTTCTGAGAAAGTTTTAATTTCTCTAATAATGATTACACCAGTAATGTGCATTCCTGTGTGGGCAAGGATAGGTTGTCCGATCGACATGTAATATAATTACCAATATAACATCCCTCGTCTACTATCAATGAGTCTACAATATGGCTTTAACGCCAGATACCCATTGCTATAAAAATCTACGTTTACATTTTTTTTTTATTTTGTAAATCCATTTTCCTTGAAATGATAAACAGAAATAATTTTATTAATTAATAATTTAAAGTAGTCAGTGCCATAAAGCCGGTGGGAAATGTAACAGTAACAATCTATTCAGTAAAAACAGAATAGATACATGTGCTGACAAGGTTTTATAAAAAAAAGAGGTATGCACACGTGGGCACAGATAGACAGATCAAAGTAACAATAACAAATTGAGGAATAGAAATAAATAGAATGCTGGGTTACCGCGATGGAAGAAGAAAAGCGATCGTGAAACGTAAAAAATGTTGGTGAACATACACGATATCAGGGTCTAATTAGACTCAATGAGGCCCTAAGTCATGAGGCCTCATGTCGTTTAAAATTACACATAATCATAGAAAACTTAAAAATATATTCGCCTTTTGAATATATGGATAATTGAAATATTCTGCCATTTATTTGTTATTAAAAGAACTAATAAAGAATGTGTTTGAAAAATCACAGAAATTATGCAGTTCTAGGTTGCTTCTTCTTATTCTTTTTCTTTGGGTTTACCGGCGGAAAGTCCTGGTTGTTCGTCCATTTGGACTTTAGCTGTGTACCAGGACTTGTGTTTTGCGTCCATGTCTGTTTTTACTGACTAAGGCTCTAAGTTAAAAGATAGCACATTTATTAAATATATTTTACAAAATTGTATTTGCGGGGGAAAGGCATTTGTAAAGATCTATGCGCGTTGTGAAACCCTAAGCTTAATTAGTTTATATCTAAACACGGCACTGCATAAAATACAAGAGCGAAATAAACACAAGAAAGCTAAACAAGCCACAACAATACATTTATCAACTTACACACGAAGATCCAGCTCCTTCTCCCGGCATTTAGAAATCATTTTGATGATCTTTTCGGAGTCGATTCTCAATTTTCTAATCATAATCTGAAGCCGCCGCACTAAACGATAAGAACTACGATAATCATTACTTTTGATGGCTGCAGTCAGCAACATTATTACTTTGACTAAAGTATTGATATCTGACATTTTTCTATTTCAAATCAACTCCACGCCACAACTTGACAAACTCCAAGCTTGCAACTAGTCAGCGATGGCTTGTAAAATGAATGTAAATGACCAACTGACCACGGTCCTCATAAGGTACTCGCCTTTTATTTACCAGAACATCGGCTGGGTACAGTTTAATTGTTACGTAATAGAGGATGGTCAACGCAGAGGGTGTGCCAATTGTTTGATTAGGGGACAGACTTTTGAAACCATTGAGGCGTGAGACCATAAGTAACCAGTTCTTGCAATGCTGGGGATGACAGTTGACCTACCCGTGTCAGACTGCAGGTTGTTGTGTAGGGTCCCAGTGTTTTCTTACCTAACTGAGAAGAGGAGGGCTGAATGGATCTGAGCATCCGCATAGTTTTAGCCTAGTGGTGAGGAGGGTGTAGTTGCGGGAAAGGGGGGGGGGGTGAGGATGTGGGGGGAAAAAGAGGGGGGGGGGACTGAAGCCGCTTCTTAAAGGTTTATTATT